CATAATGATTCCAAATGACCCCGATGATCTCCAAGAATATTCTTTGAATCAATCTCACCCACCATTTAACCACGGAGTGCCAGGTATACCGTTTCAACTGGATACTTTCAACATGGACAATGACCCGATTATCACCTCAGCAGGTCCTTTCCAACAAAACTTTAACTTCTCTCCCTCCCATTCACCCCTCGTTCCCCATGGACCATTCTCTTCAATGTACAACAATGCCTCGATGCCATCTTCCTCCTTGAACTCGAACGATTATTATTCTCCTCCTGGAAGTGCTTATCCTTCCACAGTCTCCACTCCTCAGCCCATTCCAGAGGGACAGGAAATGTACTTTTCACACGGAATGAATATGCGACACCAACGCCCTCACACTTTCAATCAAGGGCCTTCAAGTCTTTCCAATTCTATGGCACCTCAATATATGTACAACGGCAATGGAGGATCTATGTTCACTGCAGTGACAACCTCCGGCCCCTCGAACAACTCCTTTGCCTCCGCCGGTGGATTTAATCTGTCACAACACATAGATCCATCTCAAGTCTTCCAACCCGATCATCCTGTGCGATCTCCCGGTGTCCAGATTGGCCACGAAAACATGTTTTCATTTGGAGCCGATTCCGATAACGAGGACGATGAAAGTCAAGCTTTTGCCGATCGAACACTCATGTTGCAGCACGATTTTGCCCAGTCACCTTTGGACGACCAGAACATGGATATGCATGGAAGTGGTAGCTTGCAGTGGGATGCTAGTTTGTCAGGACAATTCAATACTCAGGCAGCACGATATCCAGGAGGTCCACCAAGAAAACAAGTCACCATTGGAGGAACAGAAATGGTATCGTCACCATTAGAGTGGGATGGATCTGGAGGTTCCCTTGGGAGACATCATGGCTCTACTCAATCCGTCTCCGATAATCGTTCAAGAAATGACAGAAGACAAAAGATTCCTCGAACTGCCTCGACACCAAATGCAGTACTTCTCGGCCAGAATAGCATGTTTGACAACTCTGGCCCTTCTGCATCAAATTCACCACCAGATACCAACAACATGTCAGGATTTTCATCAGTTGCACCCAGTAGACCAGGATCTCCTGGTGGATCTAAGCATGGTTCAACTACCAATCTAGCAGCAGCTGGTCAAGGAGATAATGGGGTACCAACAACTTGTACGAATTGTTTTACACAAACAACACCTCTCTGGAGACGAAATCCTGAAGGTCACCCACTTTGCAATGCCTGCGGTCTCTTCCTTAAGCTCCACGGTGTTGTACGTCCCTTGTCCTTAAAAACTGATGTCATCAAGAAGCGAAATAGAGGATCTGGTGCTACACTTCCTATTGGTAACTCGGGTGGCGCTTCAACGAGAGCTTCTAAGAAAATAGGCACAATGAGCAGTGGACCCAACACTAGAAAGAACTCGATGGTTGCAGCAACAAGTATGGTCAGCACAGCTCCGCAAACTCAAGTAACAACACCTACAAGCAGCCATGGAAGAAATGCAAATGAGAGTGCTAGCCCCCCTTCAATTACAGGTTCATTAGGAAATGGAGGAAGCACTGCGGGTAGCACTCCAACTTCCTATCATGGTTCTGCGGGCTCTTCTTCAGGCACAACAGGTGTTAGCGGAGGTAAAGGTGTGGTTCCTATAGCAGCTGCTCCACCCAAAGCAACACCCGGCCCTGGTGCAGCATCTAGTATGCCTCGATCAAACGCAGTACCTAAGCGACAAAGAAGACATAGCAAAAGTGTTAGTGCAATTGAGAGTATGGATATTGATTCGCCTGAAGCTTCTACTGGTAGCAACGAGGCCGCAAAGTCTATTGGTATGGGATTGATGGGCACCAATGGATCCATGGGCCTAGGCAATGGATTTGGTATGCCAGCAAGACCAATGATGGGACAAGGAGGTTCTGGAATGCAAATGGGCATGGGAGGTTCACAACATGGAATGACTATGAATAGTCAAAATGGACCTAATGGCTCCGGTGCTGGTCCTCAAGAATGGGAATGGCTAACCATGAGTCTCTGATCGAGCTTCTTTGTCGTTCTCTTTACCAATGACGTCAATAGGCGTTCTTTCCTTCCTATGATTTTTTCTGGGGTTGGTGGCTACAATTGATTGTTCCTTGGAGTTACTTATACTCGGCCTTTTATGATACCAGCGAGGATTCGCGCTTTATATTTTAAGATACAAATGATACGATGATGATGCTTTTTCTTTCTTAATGGATCGAATCAACGTAATGCATCTCAGGTTATACCCCACGAAGGGGCGGGAATATTGGGTGGCTCTTTTGAAACTTGTTTTTTTCTTCTGTTTTCAGCATTAAGAGCTTTGATATCATGTTGCTTTTCCTTCTATTCTACCTAGTCGTTCGATCCCTTAGCTCTTGTACGCAGATTAAGAGAAATGAGACTTTGATCGTGCGAATATGGTTTTTCTTCTTTTGCATTGTGTTTTGAAGATTTTGAGAGTTGAGAGATTATGATCATGGTATTTGTGCCTGCGCGCGAGCTATTTGCAGCAGATACGGATGATGGGTATGGACTATGCTGGGTTGGTTGACGTATGGGCGGATATGGTAGGGGTTGGCCTTGGCTGGATTCGATTTTACTCTTGTTTTTGCACGTCGATTTTTGGTCTTTTTGTCGGAGCAGCGCATCAAGGGTTTGAGGGGTTCTTTAATGACATGATTTGATATCCGGATAGACGGGTTGTTATAGGGACTTCTATTTCTGGGGGCATGGAGAGATACGGGAGAGCGTGCTGGCTGTGCTGAATGGATTCACGGGGTTGAAGGGATTGGATTGGGCTGGGTCGATGGATCTGGATTTGGTTGTTGAGTTTGGATGGTTGGCTGGAATCGCAATTACGATGGGAATGGGAATGGCAATGATGGCAATGGGAATGTAGTAGAGTGCACAGAAAGAGGCCAGAGAACATGAGAAGACAGCTGAGACACTAAGATGGTGGTAGTTGGACAATAATATGATCTTAATTCATTTGATTGATTGATTTTAACTTTGACTTTGATCTGTATTTGTGAATGGTTGATGCAATAAACGAGAGAGAGGATTTTTTTATTTTCAAAGTTGTTGAATATTGATAAGTAGGTTTTAGTAGCAGGAAGAGATATACATGTATTCATTGTATTGTTGACAGCGAAGATATCGGGATAAGTATTGTTTTGTATACAACAGTCTTGAAATATTTATCTACATTGCTTCATTTTCTTTTCATTCTTTCCCTGTCTGTATGGGAGAAAAGATTCAAAAGAAGCTTGATTCAGATAGGTACTATATAATCTTGATCTGTATCTAATGCAGCTCTCCATCCTATCCCTTCGTATTTGATTTACTCCTCTATGGTTGCTATTTCTATAGATATCTTATCCCATAAAATCTCACCTCACAAATCAATACACCGATTTTCAGGATGACTGTGAACGCTTGACAAGTGAAGCGACATAGATGTCAATTTTAGCCTGCACTATACTACGCCAGTGTGCCAAAAGCTTTCATCCCGTGATTGGACGTCCGTATCCAGGCTCAGAGATTCGGTAACCCTGGCTGATATCCTTCTTCCATCGCCAACGGCGCACCATGTACCTCTCATTCTCTGGCGCATCTACGAATAGTGGCCTGAAACCGACACACACATGAGGTATCCCCTTACCGCCCATCGTGAAGATTCTCGTACTGATCTATCCAATAAGCAAGAGGCTTGTATATCCAGTCCACATCCACATCCCCCTTCTCGTACTTATTCCTCAGCGACACTGTTAGGAAATAGCAAATACACCACCCTCCTCAAGACTTCAGGGACATGCCCAATCTCTTGATCACAGGCCGCATGTCTTCCGGATGTTCTACTAATGGTAGATGCATTTCGTCTACGACGAGATGGTAACTATATTTAGGGACGATACTTATCAACACCAATTTTTTTATATTAATTTTTTTTTGGCTGAAATCGTAAATCATAAACTTGGCGTCGTTCATTAGACAAAAGCCTAGTAGCGACAGGTGTTCTCTACCAGTAGAAAACATACGGGCGAACATCCCGCTCCGGACGAGTGAGCCCCGGCCCTGTTTTGTGGACTCGAATGATAAGTTGACTCGAAGCACATTCCAAGTACGTAGGATATGAGCCTTGTATCATGGAAATCAGAAATAAAGATACGGTATATACCCTAAACAAAGAAATTTTTATAAAACCATGATCAAGCAAATCATTTGCGCGAAGAAAAGTCGAACACTCGGCAAAGATGTCTCAAGACTTGGGTTAACAAACTCTTATTTGAGAGTGCAAGTAGTTATAGCCGGATAATTTGGTCTCCTCGAATCGGGCAAGATAAGCCTGGAAAGACATGAAAGAATTTTCCAATGAACAGCAAAACAATTCAAGTCTGGATGAGCGAAGGACATGACAGCCGAGAAGACAGGTACTATCAAAAACTCAACATCTGAGGAAGGTTTGAACAGCGCAATCGGATGGATGCTAAATACCTTTCAGCTTGTAAGTTTTGGAGTAATCACCAGTCATAGAGGCGTCCGATGGAGGAAAAAAGAGAGGCTACAATCATGCGTCATAATCTCCTAGAAAATCTCAGTATGATTTAGAGCGTCTGTTCTATACACCCAGAGAGCGAAGATGAACTAGCAACTTGTATAAAGACGAATAAAAGAGAACACGAAGGAAAACAGACGCCTTTAAAGCTCGCTTCCTCGATAATTTGGCATCATACAATAGTGACCAAGGATCCAAACGGCACGTTTACTATGGCCTTGATTCCGCCAAGTGCAAAAGAAAGAAATAAAGATGTTGTACATACAGGATGGAAAACAAAAAATCGTGCAAAGAATGCTGAAAAGAGATCTGAGACCAAGATTCACGGTGGCAGTCAAGCAAAGTAAGCGATCATTTGACATCTTGTTATCTTTCACAAGTGATTTCAGTTGAGACGTAATCGACGCGACATGATGAGTGCAAAGGTTCATTCAACTCGTGATTGTATCATATATGGCTTGCGGGTGTCCACAACACCGAAAGAGAAATGTGAAGATGTTGAAACCTGTTGATTGTCGTCAGATCCCTATGAAATCTAGGGGACCGAGATTCGTGGCTAGAATCTCTAGTACCCCTGGCCGATGGCCAGCCCATGGCCATTTCTCAAGACCTCGGCCGATACTCCACACAAATGGGCCACCCAGTTCGCCTTCAGCATTTTGCAGCGTAAGAAAACATCGTAATATCACATCACATCTGCAGAAACCAATGAACAAGTATTGAGACGGAGAAAGATCAAGATAACATTGATCTCAATTCAGCAGCAAACCACTTCCTCAAATGTACATATACGCCCATTAAAGAAGATTGCTTTCCCTTCAACCAATGGATTCCCGTCCGAACTTGAAGTAGATATTCTCTAGTTCCTGAATCGTAATCGTAAACCCATCGTGGTGAAATTCTTGTGTGTAGTAACAAGCAACGCCCCTCTTGTTCCCCATCCATCAATTTTTGGTTATTTAAGCTCCTGGGTTGGGGTTCATCTATTTCCTGGATTAGCAAACCATCTTGAATTCGATAATGTTTATGGTGTTGTCGAACCTTTCTCTTGCCACCGGTCAAAGTAACGTTGACGAAACGACGAACGAACTTCTCTCTCTTGGCAGCACGTCCCTTGGGGCGCTTCTTCTTCTCTTGTGGCTCAACCTATTTGTAACATCGTATTAGCATGATTTGATTCATCAAGATCATGTAGCCTGTCAAAGTATCCCATTCCCATTCCGATTCTCCCATGTTGCTGCCTAAATGACCCTCAAGATCTTGTTCGCCACTCCAACTCGCCCATTTCGGCGTCCATGGCCCCCATCGAGAATTATATCAGAAAAATCGTACCTTTGGTGTTTGAGACTTGACCTTTCCGGCACGAGCGAGGGATCCGTGAACCTTTCCCATGATTGCGGTTTATCGGGATATTGTCGATTGATATTTCCGATAACTGTAAAAGTGGCAAATGTAAGCGGTGATGTTCTTCCCCTTGAGATGTAAATAGATCGATTTCGCAGAGATGGGCGAATCAATTTGAGAATCTGCGAGCGATTCTAGAGATGGCAGGAACCGTAGATTTGATGAAATAATATGGGTATACGTACGCGGTTGCTGAGTTGTTGGGTTGTCGATGGATTCGTGAGATGCGTCAGTATACTCTTTCTTTGCTGCTTACTCTAGCGCCATCGCTTGGTGTTTCGCACTAAAAATGCTAGGGCTTCGAAATTGGGCAGCCCTTCATCTCAGATCACGTGACATTTATATACTGGAGCGAGCCATCTTCTCTTCTCGTTCTTCATTTCTCACGCAGAGGAACACCAAAATACAACACGAACATGCTCAATCAGCATATCAACTTATTTTCTCCATTAATCAATGCATAAGCTTATGAGGTTATCCTCACACAGTACCGTGCTGTACTCATCTCAAAACTTTGAAGATTTCATTCCTTCCAGTCTCTAAAGGTACAATTTCAAATTGATAACGAGCTGTGTCAAGATGTTCAATCACATGAACGCCAAGAGATCTTATCGTTATCAGATGCAATGTTATCACCGTAACCCCTTCCGAGTTTCGGATTGTCATCCGAGTCTTGTTCACGAGTACCATCACATCTCATCAGCGGTAAGGTTATAAACCATCTTATTATGTAACTATTACATAGTGAATGTCAATTTTCTATTGAATATTAATCATATAAATATATCTTCATCTGGCCTCGATTACCTCTAATAAACATTTATTCTGCTTCAAGCTCTTTCGCAATGTACCTCTCAAAAGCTCCATTGGGAGCCTTGCTCTTGAGCACTCTCCTTCAACTTACAAGCAGTTCATCCATACCAATCGCCGCTTCTCCAGAGAACGTTATCAATAATCCATCCTCTGCCGAATCTACAAATCGCATACCTACATCCCGCGAAAGCGCCATTCTCGCCCGTCGCATTCTCCATCTTACGCCTCTCGGAACCCTCTCGACCATCTTCCCTAACTCATCATCAACTTCCGAGAACCGACCCTCCAATCTCCAAAATATCCCCATCGGTCTCATGGACTACATAGCTGACTGTGAACCGACAACTAATAATCCTACCATCCTCGCTCTCAGCATAGCAACCACCTTCAAAAACGCAGTCTCAAACCCAAATATCTCTCTCTCCCTATCTTGGACCCCTCCTTACCCCCCTAAATCCCGCATATCCTCTAAGCCAGACCCATTCGCATTTTCGGCGGCAAATCAACCGCGGTTCAGCATCTTGGGATACCTCGAACCCATCACTACTTCGCCTGCAGAAGACCAAGAATTAAGACAATGTTTTGTCGATACTCACCCCGATGCTAAATATTGGTTACCAGGTAACCATATTCATCATAGTGAGTGGGTTCGCTTGGTTGTGCAGGAAATCTACTGGATAGGAGGATTCGGGGATCGCGCGTATATTGGTTGGATACCTATTGAGGAGTGGAGGTCTGTTGAAAGAGAAGAGTGGGAGAAAGTGAGATTGGTAGGAGAAAAGAAAGGGTGGAAGGAATGGGCGGTTGAGGGATTGGGATTGGGAGGTTCTTGGGAGTTGTGATGCTGGGATATTGCTATGAGACTGATAGATTATAAGTGTGAATATGTATATTAGTAAATTTGGTAGTTGTTTATACCTTGCCTAATGTATCTTCCCTCAAACTTTAATCTTCCATGTCCTTGCTAAAATTTATATGGGTAATCAATCTATGATCCAATACTCACAAGACGGGACCAAAGGGTTTGGTATCGAATTGCTAGATACATTACCTAGCTGGAAGTAGATCAATAAATGACACACGGTTTTCACATGAAGAAAACAATCACTATCAGCTCAAACTATTTACGTATTATCCTTGTTAACCAAAGCTCTATATCTCTATCATACAACAATCAAACTGGAATTCTACCATGTACACCCTTCCTGATGCATTGCTGTAAACCGCCACAAACAAGGTTCCCAAACACGAAGCCTAGCGCCGGCGTAAACACCTCTACTCTACCCATCGTGCCAAAGCTTGATTGGAAAGTTCTTTAACCCGTGTAAAAATGCGGCAAAATGGACCCCGAAAATGCAGCAACCAAAATTCCCGTCAGCCGATTTATCAAGAAAACAACCAGCGTGAAACATTGCGCCAACGATGCAAGATTATCTCTTCACTCTCTTGGAAGACCCATTGCTAGCAGGATCAACCAAAACCCTCTTACTCGAACTAGCCACGGAAGAATTACTCTCCGGTCCCTCACTTGAATCATCCCGGTCCCCCTCAACCTCAGCCTCGAACAACGAATCTAAGCTCGACAGCGCACTAGAATCTGAATTCGATCTTGTCCTCTTTATACCCGTCTCTGTAGGAATAGCAGTCCCATTCTTTTCCCGATGCGATTGTAATCGGAGTGCAAAATTATTCAGGGAATTGGGATGTCGATGAACATGCTCAGAGATGAATTCCCAAGCCGTGGCCCAGCATTGAGCGTTGACTCGTAGATCTTTATGTTTCAATCGTAGAAAGCAACGTAGGGATTTGATGTCTGAAAGAAGAACGTCGTCTGATCGCCTGTCTTTATGGTATGATATCAAAATGCCCGTGGCTACTAATTCTAGTGGTGAAAAAGTGCGGACGTGGTTTATATCCGCCTCCTTTAGAAATTCAGGAGCAGGATCAAATACTGAGTTCTTTTGGAGTTCGTACTGGCCATCTGGTAACTTTGTAGAAGATAGCTTGATCAGTGACTCAAACCTGTCGAATACGTCCTTGAAAGCGAGTTTGAGACCCATAGATATTGGTTCTGGATCTTCTAGGACACGCATAAGTGCTTGGGGACTGGCTTGGAGTGAGGGCACAGTTTTTTTCCTCCGGCCATTGGTTGCTCCAGAAAGAACTTCTTGAATCATAGTAAATATAGTGAGAATAAGACGAAAGCCTGATGCACGACTTTGTTTCGATACTAATCACCCATTAGCCATGTTCCTCGCGTGAACTACAGGGGACTTACAGTTGATCACCATGGCATAATCATCCTCATATATGCGGGTGAATCTAGCCCACTCAGTCGACATTGCTCTCATTTTCTCGGCTGGCGATAAAGCAATTCCTCGCTGGACAAGCTGGAACATAGTTTCTTCAGTCTCTTGTGTCAGATGGTCGTACTCATAGCAACAGAAGACCTTGTCGTCGAAAAACTTCTTCAATCCATCTGGACAAATGTTTCTGTTGCTACTCGGTGTCAACACACCGTTGGTAGTTGGATGACAATAGTACCATTTTTTCGGCGGGTGTGAATTGTCGAAAAACCCGATCTCTCCGCTCATAAACTTAAAAAGCGATGTCAAGCGTTGCTTTCCATCAACACAGATCCGCATATGCTTCACCTCTTTCCGGCCGTCCTTCAATTTGTTGATTATTGTTTGGACATTAAGGACGATTGGGGAATGAAATATCCCATCAACACTGAAGTAATAAGAGTAGAAGCACGCCCTTCGTCCCATACACAAGCTCTCTGATAGTTTGGATCTAACACTAGATTCCCCTTGACGATAGTATTATAGAGCATTCTTAAAGACCTTTTAACGATCATTGGTGCAGGAAGTTGTCGAATCTTAAACCCTTATGTGTCTCCATTAGCACGCGTTAACATAGTATTTACCTTTCAACTTACCTGGACAAACAAAGTGTTCAATACCATTAATGAACACCAAACCTTCAAAATTTCCATCCACATATTCAGACTCTTCGTCTTCGACATCTACGTCATCGAAAATACTATCTTCTGCGATATTCGGTAAATCCAAGTGCAGAGTTTCATCTCCAGAATCTTCATTCTTTATTAGCCTTTCCTCGACAGGCGAGCCTGGCTTGATTTCCACTCTTGTCATAATGAAAGACAGTATTTTCTTGGATACGTATTGAGAAGTGCTCACTGTCGCAGTTTCTTTTTGTGCAGATATTCGAAATCAAGTCTGACATTCACATTCAGGGTAAAAGATTGAGTGGAAGGTATATGACTGTAGCAACCAGCTTGATAGAGTCATCGACCCAGTGCAATATTAGAGATATGAAGAGTCATGTGACGTCTTCGGAAAGAAGAGAGAGTGGCGTGATGCTTAAGGTGATTATTAAATTAAACTACAATAGTTGGTCAGTAACAAAATGCCATCGCGTGAAAAGGGGTGAAATAATGAGCCTATGAGAGCCTGGGGATTTGCTGCACTTGCATTTGCTTCGTGCTAATAGAAAGAAAAAGTTCGAATACACCAGAAAGGTAATAAGAACATGTTTGAAGTACCCGTGAAGCTAATTGAACAGCTTTAAATTCCGTTTCAAACCACTGGGCAAGGTGATATTCAAGCCAGCTGTGACAGCCTTGCAATGCTACACGTTTACCGCTTGGCATAGTTTCTGCATGATAGGACAGACAAGAAATGCGAATGAAAGTACACATGGGCAAAGGAAGTCATAAAGATTGGCCAACTCACAAATTATTCTATAGCTGGCAATGATGCTTTCTGAAATGTATTGTTTAGATATTGTTTGCCATTTCATCGTTACCTAGTGAAGCGCGTGTTTGTTGGACATGACGAGAGCATTGGGTGGTTTGGTGGGTCTTGTTGGTCTCAGAGCGTTTCCGGAAGGTGGGGTGCATTTAGTCTAACTTTCTTTGGGTTAGTGTTGAAGCTGTCTGTTTGGATCTTTTAAGTATTCAAACATTTCAGAACCTTTCTTGGAACGTCTCATCATTATTGAATATTCTGGATGATTCGTCAATTCGCATGGAGCCAATTTTTCAGATAGATTCGGAGAGATCACAAGCGAAATCGATACATCAAGGGATTCTAAACATCGAAATATCTTCATTTTCAGGTACATTCTTTGAGATTATTCTGAGATTTGCAAGAGATCCTGCAATTGCTGAAGGCTATATACTTCTTTCGCCCCTAGAGCTTCTTTGCGTACAATCAAATTGTGGAAGAATGGTGTTGCCTCTATTAAAGGGCAATCTTGATGGTACTTCCGGGAGTCATATGCCACCTGTTCTGAGTTTGGCGGATCACCTAGGTACATATACAACAGAAATAAGTGATACGCCAGAACCAGGATGGGAAATGAAGAAATGAGAGATTGGATGAAATGAATTGAACAGCATTGTATACAATATCCTAGTAAAACACCTTGAACTCCACCTTGAAGTCCTTTTATTGGGTATCATCAACGCCACTATAATCATTCATACCATCCCGTAGAACTTTGGTGAGAACTGCTGCAGCTCTGCCAGCTTCACCTGCTTCCCTCTTAGCATGCTCTACTCCTATGAGTAAATCTGCCTCAAATCTTTTGTGGAAAACTCTTTGACGATCTTCCCTGTCAATATACATTTCTCCTTCTTCATCTCTCGATGACCCAAATAGATTGAGATGCGCATATGCGTTCGCTCTAGAAGGTATCATATGTCGCTCGACATCGAAAAGTGGGAAATTACCCCCGTTCGTAGTAGGCTGCGCAACTATCTCCGGTTCCACAAGGCCAGCCTTGAGAAATTGGGAAAGCACCATCAACTGTCTTGGAAGAGTTTTCCCTGATTTCTCAAAACTAGCCCTACTTATTCCAAAACTAACTCTACTTGCAGATGACCATTTTGACGTTGCGCTACTTGTAGTCCAGCCTATCATTGACATGAAACTTTTCAATGTTTTCACCCACCCACCCGGACATGAAACTACATCTTCTCCTGCAACTTGAAGAAGCCATTCTAATACTGCCAAAGCATCTACTCGGATTTCGGTGGCCAAATGTGTCATACCAGCTCTTGTGTATAGTAAGGCGGATTCCGCTCGATCGCCAATATCTGCAGGTGGTAAAAGCCGAAGGAATTTGAGGAGCTGTGTTCGCACAGAGGCATTTCCGTCAAGGATTAAAGGTAGGAGTTTCGGGAGAATAACAGCAGTTGGGAGGGGTATTGATTCGTTTACGGGTTGAGAAGAGAGTTGAGTTGTAAGATATGAGAGCGCATCCTTTCGTTGAGTGTCTGATTTCGAGGTGGATGCCAATGAGAGATAATGAGTGAACTGTACAACATTCGAAGGTGCAGCAGTTGTAAGAGATTGTTGATTTACAACAATTGATTTGGACTTGAAACTGGTGTCTGTAAAGTTGTCGGCTTTTGCTTTAGTCTTGCCAACTCGAAGTTTTACTTTCTAGGAACATTGAGTCAATTGTGTGAACAGAAATAGGAGAGAATGTTCTTACTTGAAAGTCCTTCTTCTTTTCCCTCTTTTTTCTCGCACTTGAACCCATTGCGAATAATTACTATTATGAAAAATGATGCCTTCGAAATAATTTGGAAACTGCAAAATAAAAAAGTTCCCAACTAAGGTCCCGGAATAACTGGTTGCGCCGCACTCCGATGCTACCCCTGCACGTGGGTATCATTAATTGTTTACAGCACCCATTTGTTTTCACAACTCACTGATTGTACTACATTAACAAATATGCCTCAAATGACCGACCAGCTTACTGTACGTGATATTGAACTCTATTTTCCGCAAGCATTTACTAACAGTAATTGAAGGGCAGCGGCGCAGAAGCTTTGGCAGAGACTCTAGCACGACTCTCTAAGAAACCCGGGGTAGAGGCGACACTGGTGCTTGAAACCTCTAGTGGTACCATCATTCAGAACTCGGGATCGTTCTCAGCCTTCCGTTCAGCCTCTCGATCAAATAATACTAGTGGTGCGACTGAAGATTCGAGTACAGCAGCCAACACGGAGAGCCAAGGTATCGAAGAATTAGCTTCTATGGTATGGAGTTTTGTAAAATCCGCTGGGGGACTTGTGCAGGGACTAGATGTTGAGGTTTGTCAAAATTGAACTGTGATGTGGGAATGCCAACCTGACGCGGTATTAGGATGAGGTTAAACTCCTGCGTCTACGAACGAAGAAACATGAGCTTGTGATTGTTCCGGATCCAAAGTACATACTCGTTGTTGTGCACGAAACACCCCAGCTTAAGGAAGAAGCGCAGGAAAAATCTAGTTTACACATATCGATGGAACGGCGTTCAATACCCAAGGAGCATTTTACGGCGTTATAGTTTACATGAGAGGATATCTTAATGACATAAACCATGCAAATTTGTTCGTTCCCAATGTGTGGTCTATTCAGTGCGTACCCCTGGATGTTGATGTGGATTTCAGAATGACACGCGAACGAGAAACACAGAGTGACCGACTCAAGATGTACCCCTTGAAGTCAGGAGCGATCTTGTGATATTTCGCATGGATATATAAAACTTCTTGAGGCCGCAAGTTCTCATTAGATCCCGGAGATGAAGTATAGTTTTCAACTTAAGCATCAAGCAGTCTGCAGGATATCATACAAAACTCGTTGTTTGATTTGACCTTGGAGACCGGCGACTATTGTTAGAAGTCTCAAGAATCTTCAATATAATGCTTGATCTGGACTTGACACTAAAATACTTATCCTTGAAATCAGACTGCTTCACGATTGCATGAAGAAGCTTTATTTTATGTTTCAAGACTTTCTATTTTGTCGTTCTCGGATTCTCATCTGTCAACTTCGATTTTTTTTCCCATCGAAGATTGCGCGTTGGAGACCTCAGCTAAAAGTGACGACCACTTGTTTCTGAAAGGAAAGTACTTCCTTTCTAGTCGGAGATCGATCATCCAGCTTCGATTTTGCGAAGTCGTCTTCGAGAAGCTTATCTTTACCGGAATTAACCCAACCATTAATAATGTTCCGATATTTGACATGAAGTCGTGCGGATTAATGCACAATATCTTATCCCGGGGTGATGATGGTGCTTTGGTATATCTTGCGTGCTCACTAGCTGCATGAACGCAATTGGTCGATCCCACCCAGTTTGTCTATCACGAAGAATAAAAATTATTATCGACCAATAATCACTCAAGAGTGAGCCATATATCACGGTATTCATTTATCTAAACTTGCATGGTAAGTTATGGTGGCCATTGCGATTGATGATAACATGTGCGTCAATTTTTACATCACCCATGCTTGCGGAGACTAGATCTGGGCCGCATATAGTCGACAATGGTACTTATATATACTATATATCCAAGTCTGTTCCAAACTTCACAGGTGACTGCTAAGTAATTTCAACTTTCAACATGGCCGTACAACTTCTTACCCAAGCCGACGGCTATGGCATCATCGTGGGATTATCAATCCTCTTCTGTCTCATCATCCTCGCAGCTGTTCGCATCCAAAAAAGATATCTCTCAGAAGATAGCGATCAATCCGAAATGTTCATGGTAGCAAATCGTTCTGTCGGCACCGGACTTACTGCATCCGCCGTATTCTCAAGCTGGTAATTCCATCTATCCATCCATCCATCCATACTTCACTCCCATTCCAACCCCCAGAGAATCCGATATTAACCAAACTCCATACATCTAGGATGTGGATCAACGAGAGTGTTTTCTCAGCAGCCTACACGTACAAATGGGGAATCGCCCTTCCCATCTGGTGGGCCAGCGGTCTCTCCTTCCAAATTGCACTCATGGCTGTGCTGGGTATTGTAGCAAAATTGAGGGTTCCATATGCGCATACTTCGCTTGAATTTATTCGGATGAGATATGGAAATTACGCGCATTGGATTTTTATTGTGCTGAATCTTATTAATAATATTTTTGGCTGTGGGAGTATGATTCTGGCGGGTGCGCAGTTGGTTACCGGGATGACGGGGATGCACGTTGTCGCGGCTTGTGTGTTGATTCCGGCTGGTGGTGAGTAATTCTGATGGAGTTCATGAGGGGAATGGGGATGTGAAAGATCGATGCTGACCCTTTTGCTTTGTAGTCGTCATTTACACGGCTGTGGGAGGGTTGAAAGCGACGTTTTTGACAGATTTTCTCCATACTACTGTTGCTCTGATACTCTTGATCTACTTCTCGCTTGCGGTTCTGAGCAATGAGCATATTGGGGGTGTATCAGGTCTCTATGAAAAAGTCAAGGCTACAGACGACTACATTCCCGGCAACTATGAAGGTTCACTCCTGACAATGAAGTCCAAGAGCGGTAAGTTGACTCTATAGACTTGCTACGTCCATCTCGTTCAAAGACCTATTCTAATCACCTCGAAAGCCGTCTTATTTGGTCTCGTCCTAAAATTCGGAAACCTTGCTCTTGTCCTCATGGACACCGCATTCTGGCAAAAATCCTTCGCTTCCGAAGTCCATTCGACAGTCCCAGCATACGATCTTGTCTCAATCGTCATCATCGCAATTCCATGGTGCACAGGAACTATTATCGGTCTTAGTGCCCGCGCAATCGAAAAAACTCCCATCTGGTTCGACTATCCCAACACTCTCACCACCACCCAAGTAAATTCGGGAATGGTAATGCCATACGTCCTTCGTTCTTTATTAGGTAAAGGCGCAACCACAGGTCTACTAGTTCTTGTATTCATGGCCATCACAAGTACAGTTTCTTCATCCATGATCGCAGTTAGCAGTATTATCTCTCTCGATTTCTTCCGCACCTATATCAATCCCGCAGCCTCAGATCGCAAAACCCTCAAAGTCAGTCATTGGGGTGTCGTATTCCATGGATGTTTCATGGCTGGTTTTGCAATCATGCTCGAATATGCAGGAGCGACAAATAACTGGTCAACGTATTTCCGTCCCATCATCGCTTGTCCGGGGATCCTCCCCATGATCTTCACGCTTCTTTGGTCGCGACAAACAAAGCTGGCAGCTATACTAGCACCGATTTTGGGTTTGATGTCGGGTGTAGCTACCTGGCTCAGTCTCTCGTGGTATTGGTCTGGCGCCTTGAATATCCAAACGACGCAGGTGCAGATCCCAGGGTTGTATGGAGCTATCGTTTCATTTTTCTCACCGGGTATATACTCGATTGTGATTTCGTTGATATGGCCAAGCAAATTCGATTGGCGCGAATTCTTAAGAATTGGGCTCATCGAGGATAAAAGCCAAGCAAACAGCTCATTGACATCTACACCCCCAGTATTGAAGTTGTCAACCAAGTTACTCACGCGGGAGATGAATCGAAGAAAGAATCCTACACCACCAGTGGAGATGAGGCCGGTCCTCCCTCTCCCCCTTCTATAACACCAAACTCCCAACTTCCCCTCGATGATGTGGTTCACCCGTTCGGAGACGAAGTAATAAAACACATTAACAAGTGGCTGAAAATAGCCAGTGTATTTTTTGTGGTTAATGTATTGGTTACGATTGTTTTGTGGCCGATACCACTTTACCGCGATTGGATCTTTACGAAGAGTTTCTTTAGCGGATGGGTTGTGATGGCGATTGTGTGGCATTTCTTTGCTATTTTGGCGGTGGTTGTTTATCCAGTTTGGGATGGGAGGATTGAGATTGTGAGGGTGGTAAAGGGGATGAAGGGTGAGTGGGAAAGATAGAAATAGAGAAGGAGAGATGCGTGGATGGGAATGATTGATACCTGGGTCTTGGATAATAGATACGTGATTTTTGTTATTATGAATTGGACAACACCTAGAATTAAATTTTCAACTATTTCAACTGAACACTACACAACATGTTTCTAAGCACTCGCAACTTTCACCTCTGCAGTCATAAAAACTTGTATTATCGTTAGACTTCAGCCCTGACACTACGAGTGTCTGATGGTTCAAAAGAGTGTTAAGAAATAAGTGATCGGAACCCGAATATTGAGAAATTGCTATGCGAAGATATTGTTAGTCTTGATCCAATGCTTATCTCCAAGATACTATTCTCTGATATTCATCGAGTAGAAACAGGATAGTAGTAATTACTAGAAAGATATCTATGTCTTCAAGAAATTATTCTCGAGTACTCGTCCGAAGTTAAAGAGAATACTGTTAGGAACACATGGAGCTTGACCTCCCACCAAATACATATAGAAGAACAGTGATAGAGTTAGGTATTTGTTTAACGACTTTCAAAGGAAGAATGAGATGACATCATCAAATACTCAAGTTGGAAATGCATATTCGAAAAGACTTCTTATTAAGGTACTAGCCGATAGTCATTCTGTGTTTGAGAATGGAAAAGATGCTAATTTAGTAGCTAATAAGTCTTCTCCCAACTATAACGGTATTTTTGTTTCATCTATGAGGGATGATTGTCCCTGAAAACCTCCAGCAGCGATGATTGCGTTATTACCACTGTGCCACAAGCCCCTGATATATCTTGTGCCGTTGATTTCTCTATCATTGGCATTTGATATATTCGTGATCGTTACCTGATGTTCATATAGACTTATCCCGTTGAATGAGATCCAATCATGAGGTATGGGTCATAAATGTGGGATGAGATGAACATGCCGTGTGTACCCATTAAAGGATAGCACTTACTGAATTGAGTGTACCTAGGTAGATATTTAACTAGATCTGAAGATACTTATATTCATTATATACTTGACAGATGTCGATTGAACATAAAAAAGTAATGTCAAAAGCGCTCAATCAGAGATGCTAATCAGGACAACACCATAAAGTGAGAGACAAACATGACACCGCCAAGTTGCATGTCGGTCAGTCTTCAAGACAGCTCCATGGAAACGTTTCAATCTAATGGGACTTATAACTGTACTCTCCACTCCCCCGCTGGAAGAGCGGTTCCATTTGTAGACGTACGTGTCTTGGAACATTTAGTTGGGTCATTTGTACGTAGCGTGGGATTTCCACGACTCTACGAGTCTTGGGTGACACAGCCCCTTTGAATCCTTTGCAATGGATGGAGTACCTGAGATTAACAATGTAGCACCTCATAAACTCATATAAACTCGAGGTTTTGACAGTGCGTACCAGTATTCCCTAACCTCTAGAAAGTATTGTAGTACATGTTGTTGCTTTAGCAATATCAAAATGGACCCGAGGATTTGCCAGAATACATGCAAAGGCGGAAATTGATCATAGCACCAAAACAATGCACCCTGAGTTACTGAGCCACCCACGAACTACATACTCACAACTCCTGAAACCTTCAGGGTCTATTCATTGAATTTATATTGAATCATCAGACATTGCCATCAGATTCGACTTTAGTCTGACGGGATGAATAGGAATTCTGCGGAATCACGTCAGCTTTATCCCGAACTATGGGTACTAGCCAACGGGAATCTAGAAGGACTGCTCCGTCAATTAAAAGGAGGTTGGTTGATGGTGCAGCTAGTGGGCTTCTGCAGACAACTGCTAGATATCAAAGTCAGCTGAACATTACTCAACAAAAACATAGAAGAAAAGAGGAGGAAGTCCGCGGATGGGGAGAAGTGAAACGCAAATGAGAGATTGGAAGTTGATGATGGACATCTCATGGCTATCAAAAATGTCTTGATTGAGGCTACAGTACTTCCAGACGCCACACGAAAGATACGGAGTAACAATTATGTGTTCGCAAGGCCTCTCTTCCAATCAAATGAAACATCGCATTGTATTTTCCGATAACCTGGAGTGTAAACAATAACAAACAAACGCGAGAAATGATCGAATAAGCTTGTCGGAAATGAAGCTCGTACGACTATTCCCAAAGGTCCAAGATATCTAAAACATTTCTGGAATAATGGCCGAGACCAACAAGAGAGGACAAGAGAGGACGATAGATCGTTGTTGGTGTTGTCCTCGTCGTTCATTGGAAAAGCAGGGAAGATAAATAAAGATGCAAAGATCCATGGTAACTATCAAATTAGTATACCTGCAAGTCCCTACCTGTTCCCTACCTCGCCTACCTAGTAACAAAGTAGTTCAAGGTATGGATGGATGGATGGAATGGATGTTCAAGGTAAGCATTCCCATACCTCAACCCCACCTTCCTTCTTTCTCACGACCCTTTCTTTTCCTTTCTTTTCCAACACGTCACTCAAGTCAGTCACTCACTCGATCATTCATTCGCTCGTTCATTCACTCGTCTACTTATTCATCAGTCACTCATTTCACCGACGAGAGAGAGTAATACCTACATCTCAGTGCAATCTACAGTCACGGAGGACCGTATCGCACTGGGCATATGTCGTATTATTATGCAACTGTCACCGACTGCATACACAGAGCCGTGAATCCTTGCTTGAAGTTGCTTAACCACGCATTCTATCATCCACTGCCTTGGAACCCAAAAAGAGAGGGATGTGATTGATGATTGATGATTGATTGATTGATTGATTGATTGATCGATTGATAGCTGATTACCTTACTTACATTACTTGACCTACTAGGTACTCACATACTTATATGCTGCACCACCACCACAAATCTGCAACTCTCATTGCAGGATTGTGGGATTCGGAAATCTTTCCGAATATTAATACTTCTTGTATATGCCATTTTGCTCGTACAAGTACTTTCATTGCACTTGCTTGGTCACCTTATTCTCACTCCAACGTTCTTCTTATGCAGCTCCCCGCATACCAGGTTGTCAACATAACTGGCTCCTCATTTACATCCATTTCTATTGCTCCTTACATTTATTTTCTGCTATACCTAATCGCGTTTCCTGCATGCTGATCGATCTGATGACCATTAATAAAGTACTACGCAATAGCTTTTCTTTTCACTTCCAAGATGCCTTCCATATCTTCTCTTCTGAAGCATAGAAGTGAAAGTCAAAATGAGAATCGCATGAGCTTGAGTTTAAGCGTGACTCCAGAGAAGTTACAAAGAAAATCGAAGCGCAACTTCTTTCGAAACCTTTTCAAAATCTCTAGCTTCTCCTCCAAAGACAAGCCGGGGAAGGAGCAGTCCGTGGTAACTTACTTTTCTATTGAATCACCGGTGATTGTTTTGTAATACTTTTGGAATGACGCTGATATTACTCATCGTTACCAGACAATCCCAATACAAACTCCTACAACCAACCCCTCAAGTCCCATGTCGAATCACAATAAACCTCTTCCGCCGCCACCACCTTCAATCAAGGAGTCTGCGTCTTCGGAAGCGATATCTTCTAGGCCTTACAAGAAACTAGATAGGATAATCTCACCTCTTACGGATCAAGAGCTTCGCGAACTATTTTCTGGAGCTCCTCAGTTCTATGCACGTTCCGAAGGTCATCACACAGGCGCACCGTATCCTAAGATAGCTTTCCCTTGGGACTCAAGTTTGCAGATACGAGATCTGTCCGATCATGTGCAAATACAAGATGAGGCATGGGGTTGTATCACAGCGTGGCCGCATATCACGAGAGAAGCTCCAATAAGTCTGGAAGGTGCGAAGGTTACTGAGAAACGCCGTGCCCATTTTATGCCACGATGTCGCGAACGACCGAACATGCTCAGTATGCAGGGTATTGAAAAGGGAACTGTGGGGTACCAAGCGGCTTTGGAGTTAGGTGTAGCCGATGCGTTAAACGAACCCGAGGAGATACAGCCTGATTCTGGGCTCTATTCACTTTTCTATAGGCGAAGGGGATTCGCAAATGGCAAGGATGGAATAAGACCTCTCGATGAGTCCGCTGTTTACGAACATCTTATGGATATTGGTGTTTCTTACCACGAGGATCAAATGCATAGCCGTTCTACTGTTGAGCTTTATTCCGAGCTATTCACACAGATTCTGTTTCCACCTTCTAGAGTTACCGATACAGATGATCCTTATAGTCTGCAGGTCCAAATTGAGGTACTTGTGAAGGTTTTAGCTGAACCTAATATCTGGGTTGATTTTAGCTTTGTTGAGTGGAGAATCCGTCTTGGACAGATACTATGGGCCAGCAACTCGAAAGTGATCTAGGAGATGGCATCTCTAGCAATAGTGAATCCACGAATGACCCCGAGGATCAGAAGTATTGGCTGCTGTTGCAAATATTACTTTCGTGTGAGTTGTTAGTACGACTTGATACAGTGTCTCAGAATATCGATAATGGTCTAGAGCCTGCTAAACCTGCCGATGTTAAGAAGCTCGAAAAAAGTATGACACCCAGTGTTAAGTGGTCGCTTATCTTAGCTCGATCCTGGCTCGAAAACATTCGCATTGAACAAAGTATTGCCGAAATAATTCCAGAAAGAAAAGCTTCCGGGTGGTTGGCGTCGTTGACTGGAGCATCAGCCTCGATCGAGAATAGTGCACCCCCCGAAAGTGTCCAGACATATCAATTTCGTGGGAGAAATGAGACTAGACAACTAGCCGGACTATTACATTTCGCTCAAAAGTTAAAATGGCCTCATTTGGATAAATTGAACGCAAAGGTCTCGTCAAATGATATATACATCTCCGACAGTATTCAAAATACACCATCTACCGGAACACCCATGTCGGTTTCAACCCAAAAAACTTCTTATTTTATGAGTCAACGGCCTGTTCCACGACGAGGCTTATCTAGATCGACACAGAGAATGTCTGCTCTGATAAATTCTTCTGGATGGCTGTCAAATTCTTACATCAGCGGCCTGATGCTCCCTGGTGAAGGTCTAAGCCATTTTCTGATCTCAACATTATTAGAAAATGATGATGCTGCAGTCGAGAAATTGGGAGACGAGGCCAATCTGTATGGTGGGTTTGTGTTCGGCCAGAGAAGCTTTTGGAGCACAGCTTGTATAATTGGCCGGGTCTTGGCTGCTGATAAAAACTCGTCCGAATGTATGGGATGGATCTCATCGGATGTCAAACCTAGAGGAATCTCTGGCGAGGCTTGGGTTAACATAGATGTTGATACAGCATCAGTAGAAGGCAAGTTTTTACTTTACCATGTATTCAATCAACCGATGGGCTGACCAATGAAGCGATAGATGCTACCACAGACACCCCTAGAATCCTTCAAAAAGCTGTCATTGAAAGGGATGGAAGTGTTATTGGTGGAGCAGATCCTTCATCAATACTTCCGGGTGATTTTGTTGCAGTTTATGATTCCCCGACATTAAATCCTCCATCGATAACTTTTGAGTCACTAGATCTTTTTGCTGTTGATTCAGATGAGACAACGCCTACTGAAGAAGAGCCAACCCCACAGACAGAACTATCAACAGCGCCGAGTATTAAAACATATTCTGCAATGATGAGATTTTTATTGAGTCTTGACGGAGATGATAAGAAGGAAATCAATGTTGCTCTGACTCATGATATTCATTTCGTTACCGCTCATCCATGTGTAAAATCTCATAGTATCGAAGTCTTGAAGTCTCCTACAAGTCCATTATTCCGACAAAATGGTGATGAAAGCGATCAAATTCCTAATCCGAATATGGGTATGTGTTATATATTTTCCTATTCTTGCACAGGAATACTAACGAAATATAGGCCACCCCCTTCACAAGGCTTTCACATACACAATCATACCTCTCCAATACATACTCACATCCCCGGCATCGAAATCTCTTTCCTCTCTACTCATCTCACCACCGAGATCACCAGTCGAAGGGGCTTGTTCGGCAAATATACAGGCTAGTACTCATACTACTACAAGTAATATTCCAAAAGTTTTGGTGATAGACTGTGCGAGTACCATACTACCGCCTTCGCCTCCTGATGAGGTAAATGTGAATTTGGATTTGGAAGTGGAAATTGGGAGTGGGGGGAGGAAAAAAGAATTTGGAAGTGATGCGGAAATGTTGGTGAGAGCTTTATGTGCAGAAAGGGGATGGAATGCGTTGATCAGTAGGAAGGGGAGAGGATGTTTAGCTTGTGCAGTTAGAGAGGCCGGGGCAATAGGATGGGGGGTCGTGATTAGAGTTTAGGTGTGGTGAACTAAAAGAAGAGGGTGGATTTGTAGATTTGAAATAGGGAGAGAATGTGTGTTGTGGACATGTGATGTGAAGGAACGCAGAGAGAAGGAGTTGGGTGGATGGTTATACTATTCACGATGTCATGGATAGTGTGTTTTGTTCTCTTGAAGCGTTGTTAGGTCTTATTGAAGCGTTATGTTAAGTGATACCCGCCTTGAGGCAAGAGGCAGTTAGTTAATAGTAATTCATGGATTGAAAGATTTGGGTTGGCTTTATGAGTCTTTTCTCTCGTTTCTCTGGGAGTGAATCGTGATTGTATGTGTAATTGTGTAAATGAAGTGAAGTGGTGGGAAAATTGGTTGCGGCGTTTATGGTGTCTGTAAAGCGTATCTCTGGAGAGGAATACTGGGATTGTTTCATAATAGATGATGATGTATGTGGGAGGAGAGAGGTTCATAGATGAAAAATGAGAGGGATCTTGAGGAATGATGTGGGAAATCGTGTTTGAGAAGGTTGAGAGATGAAAGATGATAGATTGAAGGAATGGGGAGAGGAGAGGATTAGGATTTAGGATGGAGTTGAGTAGAATCAAGTCGATAGAATCAAGAAAAATAAATATGAAATTTACTTGTTGATTGTTTGTATATCTTAGATACCTACCTAGGTAGGTTTCTAGGGATCGCAATTCTCGTCTCTTAGTTGCTGGGTGGAAAGGTGGAGTATGTATGTGTAATCATTACAGTTTTCGCAGGATAGGGATTCAACATCTGGCGCGTGTGTTGAATTGTTGGGTGTGTGGTTGTGGTTGTGGTTGTGGTTGTGGGTGTAGGTTTGGGGATGGAATGTCTAGAGAGTAGGTATTTGGATTCTTGGGAATGGTTCTTTGAGTCATGGTTGTGGCGATGAAGTGGAAGTTGTAGAATAAGATGAAGTGTGCTTTCTGGCTGTATCTGTCATGGTGGTGTACTGGATTTGATTCGTGTAAGGCAAGCACATACTTATTTGTGGATCGCTCTTTTTTATGTGTTGATTGTTTCACAGTGCATCCAATACGATTAAATTCGGAATTGAGGACTGTCTGGTTTTGAGAAGCGGTCGGCTAAATACTGAAGCTTGTGCTGTGTCACAATAGAAAGCTTTTTGTGATGTCGTTGACTTTAAGTTGCACTTGTGTATTTCTTTTTAGAAGAATCACTCTGTTGATCTTGCAATTCTAGCTAAATTGTTGATGGATGGGTGTTGAAGCTGGAAGCACGGGAGAGCACAATACACTTGTTCGACAAGAAAATGCAAATGTGTGTTGGCTCTTGTGAAGGACGCAATGGTTTGAAGCTATCTGAATCCAGTTTCGTTAAGAAGAACATGAGATTGGGCCGCATAATGAAGCATTTGCCTTCCAGAAAGCTTCTTCTGGAATTTTCACACATCGATATTTGGTTTTAAGAGACAGCTCTGTGACTGATGCTTTAAGCGCACGGAAAGCATCGTGAAAGAGCATCTATAGCAGAAGATCAAGAAAGCTATACCATTTGAGGGCTTTTGATTGATGAGCGTAGCCATTCATCCGAGTCGGTGTGGGTCTTAATCGAGGGGTAATCTATTTTCCGTCGCAAAACCATTTTCTGATATATTGGAACACTTTCAGGTGCTACATTTTGCTAATCCCTTTTGCTATCTAGATGAAATCTTTGAGTTTGACATATCTTTTCAAAGATTATATGAACAACGAGTCATTACGATACGCAGCTCACTCTGATTATCCCAACACCTCTCAAATTTGCATCACCCAGAAGTATGGCCATACCTTTCACATTCGAAACTACGCCATATATATGAACTTATATAAACTCGTTACCATCTTTGCCACGTTAATAATGATAGATGTCACTTGTGCCTGGCAGAGTTCGTGACTTTGGAGACATATAAAGTGCTGTGACATAGAGTATGCACAGAGAGTCTAAAGCGAGATTGTGCGACTTAATGCAACCGGAAAAATCTCTTTAACCAACAATATAGCACATGTCAGCCTGGGTATATAGCAATACCAACAACTTTGTGAATGGGTATCGTGTCGAAAATGCCGAGGAACTTACAAGTACCGAGCAACTGATTCCGCTTCCACTAGTAGACCCGGTATGACTTTTCCCAACCGGCAAGATTCAATTCGGCCCGATCCCACCAGTCTGGGGACAAACTGACAGCTGGTTCTACATATATAGACCAGTAGAACATCTAATGCACTTTTCTTTGTTTCTGCGCTCAGAACTCGTTCATTTCTATGACCCAAGCTGGGCGTAGTGTGAGTATCGTCTCATAAAGAAGATATGCCACTCCAAGAGGTTTGAAGTGCCTAGTCTAAAGTGAATATCTGTAGCTTAGTAGCTGCTTGAAAATTTATCTGGAAAAGAATTATCTACTCTGAGCGTACTATGACGATGTTGCAACGCTTGTCTGCCGCGCGGGACTGTCGGTGCACCTGACTCTCCATCCTTGCACACTACTAGGTATGTGTGGAATACAACAGTCATCATTGATAACACTGTTGTAACGCGACAAGGGGAAAGTTCACAATAACATGCCTGCCATGTGATGAGTTCATTCAGCGAGCGAATCTCGAGGATTAAAGTTTCTACTAGTGATCATGATTGATTACGAAATGAGGATTTGGACGATTCGTGAACTTGGTAAATCCCATTTATACCTCGAAAATCGTAGTATGAGAGTATCGTTTCCCAAGATTTCATGATACCAAGCAACATGCATGAATTTTTGCTAGTGGTTCTTTGCAAGGCCGTATTCCAACACTCGTTGAATGTTTCAAACCAATCTCGGTAATCTTTCATGCGCGAAGAAGCCAAACCCGAAGCATGTTCCATCCTGAAGTCGGAACTCGAAGGTTGCAGACGCGTGCTTTATATTTCATTGGAAAGAACTGTGTTGTAACAAATATTTAAGGCAAATTGAAAGAAATCTACTTCTCAACCGATGCATCGGCTCCATACGAATACCATGCTGGCTGAGACATAGTGTTAATTGAGATTTATCAGCCTCAATTCTAAGTGCCAGTTTGGCTTTTTCTCATCTCTTTTACACCTGACATCATATTTGACGCAGGCAAATATCTCGTCACTACCCTGCCCGATTATTTTTTTCCACAAGTCAACTATTTTTGTTGAGAACCGCGGGCTGAGTTTTCCCTAGTATACCCGAAGGATCGTATACCAAGGACGGAAGAGTCGTATTGCCGTTGATAAGGTTATCGACTAAATAAATTACATAGTAAGCCGGAGGCTCATGCAAGCTTTGAGCGTTCCATAGATTCTAGAACTTCTCACCTCGAAAAGATGCGTCTTGGTTCTAGCTGGACGCGAAGAGCTTTAAATTACGCTAATTATTCACCTTTATATGCTCCCATCCCGGACTGGTAGGCTGTATAAGTCTACGTGGCGATGTTGTTTAATTCCCTCTTCGTTGAATTCTCCATCTCTTTAACTATTCTTGATACATAGAATTGTCTATGAATTCATAAACTGAAGAATGATGTACACCTAGGCCACAGTAGATCAGTGAACGCTGGAAAATGTGATACCAACACCATAATAAGTGTGGAGGGGCTTCATTTTACGTTAGCGTCGCTAACGTAGATCAGTATCCCCTGTCCATCGAATACATCTACTGTTAAAGTAGGGCGTAACAAGCGCACAGATACTGTTGTATTGATACTGGCCTTGGAATACGTTTCTTTCGATACTACGCGCCACAGAAGAGCCCCATAGGATGAGTGATATTGCAATTTTAAACCACCAGAACTATAAAAAATCGAAATACTTGCGTTTTGGCATCATACCTACGATCATGCCCAGTCCATGATGTATGTTTTATAGTTGAACCCTGGTAAATCATCCATGATACGGATACGTGCCGTGCCGTGTCGGAAACCGATTAGCTCGTACGTTCTTCCCTTCACAATTCTGTCACATTTGGTTATCTATAATCATTGTATTGCCTTTGAAGAATTATATATGATTAATATTGTGTCTCTCCATGGGCGCTGTTTCTGAGGGAGGAGAAGCTACCCAGTCTCTTGGCAACGATGTTACGCAGAATTTGCTTGGAGAAGGGGCTTCCAGACACCTCATAGGATGTATGCGGAAGCGCCCTTAAGAACCCGACTGCAGTAGTATAGATAGTTAATCAAAGCGTACATTAATTCCTTGCAGCCTCACAATCCTCTAATTTGGCCTCTATCAAGAAAAAATGTGGTTTTGTTACACAGAAATACGTCAATACTCTCCTAGAGCCTTCAACGGGTCCACTACAGTTAGTATTTCCTCCTCATGGAAGATCTGATTTGCTGAATTTGGCCACAAAACTTATCACATTCTTTTCTGCATCGTGAGCTTCTACAGTTTCATAATCTAGTCTTTTCCTTTTAATATCTACAGCTGCTTCTGCAGCTCAACCTGGTCTTTGCAGCTAATCGGCGTGCCCAAAAGGAAAATGATCGCTTTCGCAAGCACATACCTCAGATTGGGTGATAGCCTAAATTTTATTTCAAGATCACTGGCAGCTTTTTGACAGTATATAATGGTCATGTCGTCCTGGACTTGCTTTCTATTTCCCCAAACTTCAACAAAATAGCATCCGAAAAGTCCAACATTCAATACCACACAGACTTCGGAAGAGAAAACAGCATTCAATTCGCAAATCAACTTATACTCATATACCGACAGCCTAGCGAAACCCAATACAATGTCCCTTAGCAAAATCTTCAATGGTACTCCGGTGAACTACGCAGATGTTCAACCATCCGGTCCTCCAAAACCAGTATGACTGTCATTACTTTATAAATTTGATTATTGGCTTTCTAACGCTGCTCCAGTTTACTGATCAACAACCAAAGGCAAACACGATCGTTTTCGAATCCACGCTCACGGAGAAATGTTGGATTAACGCCTTCCCACGCGCGAAAATCCATTCGAACGAGCAAGCTACTTGGTCTAATGGTCTGGCAAGAGGCGACTCGAAGAGAAGGAGTGATTGAACAATAATTTCAAGGAGACGATCGATGACCCTACTGGACACATTCCTTTTATATTTAGTTCTTATGCCAAAGGGAAATATAGAGATACTCGGGCTAGAATGGTTCTACTTCGATTTTATGTTCAAACTTCTGATTCGAACATCTCAAATTGGCATTCGCACATGATGGTCGGGGTTCTGTTAAAGATATTTTAGAGGTGGAAAATGGTTTATTCTATACTCCAGTGCTTTGGGTGTAATATTTAGGATGATGTATACTTTATAGAGACAGTTAGATGATTACCAGTGGGTGTACGGACTGACGGGACACTGCAGAAATGGACTTGTAATTATCTCTTGATGTATGAAATCATTCAGCTTAGGAATTGTTACAATTGTTCATTGGAGATGGAACAATCAAAAAATGAATTCTGATATCAAACAACTGTATAATGAATTTGTCAAAGATTTCGAAAGCTGAGAAGGGTCCCGTCAATCCATGCACCCACTGGTGGATGAATTGATTATTTTTGATGCTTCCAGCTACTTGTGCATCCTTGGAGAGGACGATGGGATTAAAGTTGGTAACTTAATTTTGTTCGGTTCAAATTGTAAATTCCAGTGCATCTATGTATATTTATATAATTGAACAACAGGACGTTATACTTGTAGAACAAGACATCCCGTCTCTCTAAGAGGTCGTCAATTTGGCCCAATGAAAGATCGCGACCATGAGTTTTCAGAATTCGTTCCGATTGGACACAATATTTCATTGGATAAATAAGTAGAAGTTTCGTTTCCCATCCCCCATTCCCATAGATTTGCCTACCCTCAAAATTCACGATAGATGAATGTGTATCTACCTCCCACACCACTTGACATTCTCCAAAAAAATAAACCTATCGGTTCGTATGAAGATAACATTGAATCAGGCTTGCCACGATTTGAGGTTGTCTCCAGATTGCTAAAGAATGGAACCCTCTGATTAGTTCGCCAGCGAGTCATCATGGTGTGGTGATGTTGCATTTTGCTGACATGAACCAGAGCACTGGGTCTACAGCCTCGAGTGTTGGGCCGCAAAGTTGCCTACCCATCTGAAGAAGTGAAATTTTTACGATGCCCTCATTTTCGTTTTGTATATATCAAGTATCTAAAAATCGTCATGGAGCCTGACCTTGAAGCTACTGCAGAAGCCCCTCGCGCAAATGCAGCAGTGCGTGTTTTTCAACAACAGGACAATACTGCCGACGATATTGAGCGCGAGGCTGTAACAATCTCGCAATCTATTCAGTCTGAGGGTGTTCGTCGTCGCAATACTGACCAGTATGCTGGTGCTGTAAGAGAAAGCACAGCTTCCTCAGCTGACACGGAGAGAACCTTGACCCAAGAGAGATTGAGGAAAAGTAAGGATAGGCCTAGCCACGAAGAGTTGATGGAGGATTTGAAGAAAGACTATATCTGTAAGTATTGAGATGCTAGATGCTACATCAAAGTATGTGAGCTAACAATGGATAGGGGAGGAATTCGAAACTGGCATTCCGAAACTTGCTCGTTTTCAGGGAACCCACAAGGACTTCGCGATCTTCCGTGCATTCCACGAAAATCATATTCGCATTTTGATTTATAAAGAGATTGAACTTACAGATATTGCACGAGAACTTCGGAAAAGGGACAACAAGGACCTTGCAGCATTGAACACGCCGGCGTTTTATAGATTGAAGGGGCACTTACATGAACAAGAGAGGGAAGAAGTTGTATCTGAAGATAATGAGAGCCAGTATCGTACGTGGACCAAAGATACACTCATGTCTTTATTGGAAAGCAAGCAAAAGCAATATGGTTAGTCCCGATTCACGGATCACTGAGCACTAGTGACAATCCAAACAGATGAGGTATTGCTGGCATATGCCAAAATTAACGCTCTCCACCGCCCCCCAAAACGATGTTATGATTCGGTTTTCCATTGGATATTGAATATCAGGCCCCTCGGTGTTAGTCATCTCAATGGCAATGAGGCAGAAGAATTCATCTACCATCATAATGACTTCATCTCTTTGGACAATAGAGAAAGAGACAACCCTTTCAAAGAAGTGCTTGGCAGTCATCTTTTCAAGTATCCTGGGTCGCCTCTCAAGGTTAGATCATATTTCCTGTTGAGCATCTGCGAGCCTGCTATTACATTCCTTCGCAGTCGCAAATGCAGTGAAAAAAATGAAACGCTGATACTTCTCAGCCATTCCTCAAGACAAAAGGCGACGACCAAACATCATATTACGATGAAGGAATGCAGTCGGGCTTGGCCCAATTTCTGTCGCTCATTGTCCTAACTAGCATGCTCATTGCTCCTATCTGTCTCTTATTTTTGCTTGAACTTTCTCGTGGGCTCATGGTATTGGTGGTATTAGTCTTCACTGTTCTGGTATATATCGTTGTGACTCTTGGAACGCCGGCCAGCCAATTTGAAGCATTTGTCGCGACAGTTGCGTAAGTGTAGGTCGACCAAGTAGTGTGGATTCTGCTAATGTCAGTAGATATTGTGCCTTTCTAGTTCAATTTTTGGGAAATCTTGGACATGGGAATTAGGGTTGTTGACGTCCAGAAAGATTTCGAGCTGGAGCCCTGATGTACATAGGAGGAGAGATGAGAGGAGTTCCAATGGTCTTACTTTCTTTCTTCATTCATGTATTAATTTAGCTCGCAGGCTGATGCCGGTGATGGAAAGATCTAGATGCGAATCAGCCACTCGTTTTTACTTTAATATTTCGAGGTCATAGTAGTGTGCAGTTTAATGATTGTGTACGTCGAAAAGTTTTCCCAAGAATGAAGTGTTTCTGAGAAATCTATGAGGCCGTACAAATGAGGCTCGGATGCGAGTGAGCCGGCTTACTGGTATAATTACCCGAGTGATTCATCAACCTTCTCGGCTCGGATTTCATCTCCCAGGAAACCACTACTGGTGTACCGTAATTTGCTGACATCTTAATATGTTAACCCGTTCGGCATCAGGGAATAGCCTACTTAGTGCTTAGTTTCACCCTTGTATGATCTAAATACAGCCAGCGAGTTGTCCTAGCATGGGAGTATGACAGGCATCGTTGTCTGGTCATTCACCCGTGCCAACTTGGAAAGCCCAGAGCTCTAGAACAATGAATTGCCCATGGACATTATATTCTTGTATCTAATATAAGGAGAAAGATGAATTAGTGAACCAACGAATTATGAAAAAGAGTGACTGTATGCCACAATGGTTTCCCCACTCACTATTTGCAAGCCTAAGTTCTTTCTGGATCCATGTATAGCCCGATTCATTGCAATGTGAGCGGTGGGGGCTAAACCCTATTATAAAACTGTTGAGAACAAGGTCAGCGATTGCACAGGCCATTGTTCAATGTAGTCTACAGGAGCAACCATTCGCTCACGACGAGGATAATTATGTACATGAAAATGATTTGCAAGGGTTGCCTGGCGGTTATTATGGTGTTCGTTCAAGATACGTTAAGGTAGCGGTCCAAACTAAGAGTAGGGGAGAAAAGAAAGGGGGAGTCGTATTTTTTGCCCAGGTAAACTTTATATTCGTTTCTTGATGAAAAAGGTGATCAGCTTGTTGCAAAGAAATAGGGGAAAACATTTGAGTCCGCCATACTGATTGGATGTAACGGTTCAAGTGTCGAAGTCTGTCGCTCAACGACGCCGCACGAATGAAGAATTGTAATCGTAGAAAGCTTTGATCCTTCTCCCTTATGGACGGGATTGACAAATGACCTGTTCTTATACAACCTCTAGTTTATTCTCAAATCTTCGAGCTAGTAATTAATTTTCAGCTCCTCTGGATTATCCGACTCATCCGTCACCCTTACAGTTCCTTTGCCTGCCAAATGCTTGCCATTATATGGCGGAACGTGCAGCCAGGTATGCTCAGGATAACAAGCCCATGTTTTCAAACGGTTTCTCCTAGGTTTTTGCAAGTAATCGCCACAAAATATCCTCTGAGAACATGATTTGCACACATGAAAATTATCTGCATAGGTCTGCTTTTTCCCGCATCCGCCTTCGCATTAGGCGTCTAGTGGACAACTTCTGGTACTCTCATCATCATGATCGTTACCCCATGTCAGAATATCATTCGGACACATTAAAGATTAAACAATGAGCATATTTTGATGATCTCCAACATGAGTAAGGATCCATGCCAGACTTTCATACCCGATCGCATCATTTTCTAGATCGTCATCTTATAATATAGCAATCGCAGTGACCACGTTATCTCTAAATATGTTGATGAAGTCCTTAAAGTGTGAATGTTGTGATGCAAGAAGCGGCTCTATGAAGAACGATAACTTCGATTTCGAACTCCAAGCGAGATCGAACGGCGACTGATTTTTCTCGGCTTCTAGTGCATTCAATAACTGCTGGTCGTTGAGTAAATGGGGATTGTTCTATCTAGTTTTAATAGCAGGTTGGAAATAAACCATGAATTGATATCGCGCATTAGTTATCTGCCGCCTATAATGTTTGAAGTCGATCGGATAAAAGGTTTGGGATGCGTCTGCAACCCTTCCATCGCATGAATGACTGTTGAACTACATTCGTTTCATCGCTTCCAGAAATCAAAAGAGTGTGGTAAATTAGCAAGACTACAAGATTTAATTCGTTTTCTGCGCGAGTTGCTGCTCTGACGAGTGCTTCAAGTGTAAGTTCGTCGATACCGTGTTAGAGCATCGGGAATGATCTCTTGTGCTACTAAATTATCGGATGAACCTTCATTCAGAATCTTCAGAATCAGAATCAGAATCGCTTCAATATCATCAGACTCCGTAATCCTAGTCAATTTCTGAAGAATAATTGAAAATGATCCGTTAGCAATTTCTGGGAGTGTCTCACGGAGCAACTCACGAAGTAGCTTCATTTCTACATCCTGGCCTTGAATAGAATCGAGTGTATTCAACTCTTGCTTGATGAAATAATTGATATCATCTCTGGTATTGTGGATAACATGAGTCGTCAGATCAAGAGTATTGTAATCAGACCTTCCAGTAACCGAGATAAGAAGTTGGAGAGGGCTTTCGCTTGCAAACGATCTCCTCTACTCTCTCAACCCCCCCCCCCCCAAAGCTGTGAGCATTACTTTTGAGAAGCTGATATAGTTCATCAAGCGGGAGGCGAAAAGGCTGATAGAATCATTATCGTTGAATCAAGGTGTAAGTCGACTAACCCGCCGCTTTCTGGTCACTTCGTCGGATCCTACGAGAAGGTGGAAACGATGCCCTCAGATCGTGATCGCAACACGCAAGTCTTTCTATTCTTGGCTTTACTTGCATAATGATTAATGCATATCCGCCGCCGCCTGCAACTTTCCTCACACATCGTGTCGACGGCGCTTGTTGAATATGATGGCATAACTTATCGAAAGGCCCACTTGCTACTTTCATATCAGATGAAAGATTGGCAGGACCTGATATCCATGGTTTGTAGTAACTGCACTTGTTAATTACTATCAGAACCTCTTGCGTCTCGGACTAGGAGAATCTTCATTTGTGTAGTTGTTGTGATAGGGATGAAATGCAGAACAGCCAGAATTGATTCTGCTCGATATCCACTGTAGTGAACAAGTGGTCAAAGCTCACCGGGGATGCCGGAAGTTCACATCAGAGAGTGGAATTCCTGGGCCCGAATTTCTTCTTTCATTATGACCTCACTCAAATTTTTGAATAAAACTTTCGCAATTGACAACTGTATTCGCTGGTCGACTCACTGAATGTGTGACTCTTGACCCAATTCATGGAGGCGCAAAAGAGAAATCCAACCTTGTTTTAATGCTGCTTCAATTGTTGGTAGACTTCGAGTCAGCTCACTACATGATTTGTAACCGGGGAAGCTACCCACGCTCCCGTCTGAGAGCACCCAACAACATTGGCCCAAAGCAAACACGAGATTTGCTTCTGCCAAATATCCATTGTCCCTATCTTATGTAGGTTGCCTTGATTCAGTTTTTATTTATTTTCATCTCTACATCTCATGGTACATCTCCTCAATTAATGAATCTGTGATTCTTTCCCTTTCTTTATAGCTTTGAATGATTCCACACCCTTTGAGCTGAGACGCACAGTTGCCAAATCATCAGGTACAACAAAGGGGGAACAAATTCAATTTGAATACCGATCCAAAATGGATCGCAGTAAAGAAGAAAATCAGAGCCGCGAAGGGCTTCTGCGAGATTATGACGATAATGGACAAACGCCAATTCGGAAATCATTCGAAGATGCCTATCGAAATTCAGAGGAATCTGATATCGACGCCACGGACTATCTCAATCCGAATCACCCTCACGTTTCAGTGCCTGCATATCATACCAGCACTCAATTGAGTAATCTACGACGTACTTTGGCTCGACGCTCGAAATGTCTTATAATAACAATTATTGTTGGAGTAGTGTTTTGGTCGGTTCTCGCTGGAGGAGGATTCTGGTTATACAAGAAAACACCTGCAACTGGACAGTCGCCGCCATGGTACCCAACACCGCCTGGAGGCACAGTCTCACAATGGAGCGAGAGTTATAGGAAGGCCGCCGCCTTGGTCGAAAAAATGACGTTGCCGGAAAAGGTGAATATAACCACGGGTACTGGATGGCAGATGGGTCTTGCAGTTGGCAATACTGGTCCTGCATTGAATGTAGGCTTCCCTGGTCTCGCTTTGCAAGACGGACCTTTGGGGCTACGATTCGCCGATAATGCAACGGCTTTCCCAGCAGGTATCACCGTTGGGGCGACATTCAACAAGGAATTGATGTACAAGCGGGGCAAGGCACATGGCCAAGAAGCCAGATTGAAGGGAGTTAATGTGCTCTTGGGACCCTGTGTTGGACCAATAGGTCGAATGCCCGCAGGCGGGCGGAACTGGGAAGGGTTCGGCACAGATCCATATCTCCAAGGTATTGCCGCAGCTCAAACCATCAAAGGCATTCAGGAAGAAGGCGTTATTGCTACGATTAAGCATTTTGTTGGGAATGAGCAAGAACACTTCAGACAAAGTTATGAGTGGGGATTACCAAATGCCATGTCATCTAACATCGACGATCGTTCTCTGCATGAACTGTATGGGTGGCCTTTCGGAGATGCTGTAAAAGCTGGAGTGGCGAGTGTTATGTGCAGTTACCAAATGGTGAACAACTCATATTCGTGTGGAAACTCGAAGCTTCTTAACGGGATCCTGAAAGATGAACTCGGATTTCAAGGCTTTGTCCAATCCGATTGGCTTGCGCAACGATCTGGTGTAGCAAGCGCACTCGCTGGACTTGATATGACCATGCCAGGAGACGGCCTTATCTGGGTTGATGGAAAATCATTATGGGGCCCCGAGTTGAGTAAATCAGTTCTGAATGGGTCATTGCCCATCTCGAGACTCAATGACATGGTGACCAGAATTGTAGCTGCTTGGTATCAGTTGGGACAAGATGACAAATCAAAATTTGATGGTGAAGGTCCCAACTTTTCTTCATGGACCAATAAAGAGAAAGGATATATCAATGCTGGAAGCTCTGATGATAAGGACGAGAAAGTTGTCAATAAATTTATCGATGTTCAAGGTACAGGGGATGAAGCGCATTCTATTATAGCACGTCAAGTAGCTACCGAGGGAACTGTCCTATTAAAGAACGAGGACAATTTACTACCTCTAAATAGGAATGGCTGGAGCTCACCAGAAAAGCATGAATTCGTATACAGAATAGGGATATTCGGCGAGGATGCAAGTGAAGGTGAAGGTCCAAATGTGTGCCCGGATAGAGGTTGCAACAAAGGTACATTAGGATCTGGATGGGGGTCCGGCGCTGTTGACTTTCCTTACTTGATTTCTCCAATCTCAGGTATCAAGAAATCGTTCAACCCGGAACATGTCTACATTACTGTCTTTCCTACAAACTCTCCCCCATTGAAGAAGGCTCCAGCAATCATCAAAGACCAAGATGTTTGCATCGTATTTGTCAATTCTGATGGCGGAGAAGGATATATTAGTTACGAAGGCATTCGTGGCGATCGCAATGACTTGAACCTACAACATGGAGGCGAGAAACTTGTGAAACAAGTCGCTGAAGGGTGTGGAGGAGGGGAAGGTAGCACAATTGTAGTAGTCCATGCTGTCGGACCAGTTGTTATGGATGAGTGGATTGATCTGCCAGGAGTCAAAGCAGTAATAATGGCAAATCTTCCAGGGCAGGAAAGTGGAAATGCAATTGCTGATATCTTACTCGGCAACGTCAACCCAAGTGGTAAGCTACCTTATACCATTGGAAAATCTCTTCAAGATTATGGTCCTGGTGGCCAAGTTTTGTACTATCCGAATGCTGTTGTTCCACAGCAGAATTTTACAGAAGGATTATACATTGATTATCGCCACTTCGATAAATACAGTTTGGAACCTACATTTGAATTTGGCTTCGGACTCTCATACACCACTTTTGAATACAAAAACCTCAAGATCGATGCCATTCTACCCAAATCATCTTTTCCAGCCACTCGCCCAGACGGAATTCTTCCACCTACTTTCGATGAAGAAATTCCAGACCCTAGCGAAGCCCTGTTCCCATCAAATTTCAGGAAGCTCTCTAAATTTATTTATCCATATATCGAAAAGGTCTCGGATATCAAGAAGGGTAAATACCCATATCCAGAGGGCTATGACACCGAACAGACCCCATCACCAGCTGGTGGAGATGAAGGCGGTAATCCTGATCTCTGGACTGTTTATGCCACTGTATCGGTCGACCTCAAGAATACTGGGAGTGTTACTGGCAAAGAAGTGGCACAATTATACCTTGAATATGACAAAATTAGTGGTGAAGCTGCCAATATTGACTTTCCAGTCAGGGTCCTGAGAGGATTCGAGAAAGTTGAACTTGCAAAGGATGAGACGACAACAGTGAAATTTGAGTTGACGAGAAGGGATTTAAGCTATTGGGATGTAGTCAGGCAGAATTGGGTCATGCCCACAGAGGGAACCTTTACGATTAGAGTGGGTGCTAGTTCGAGGGATTTGAGGCTCACGGGATCTTTGTGATATGGGGTATAAGAAAGGCATGGAATTGGTGTTGGGGATTTTGATCGGGACGTGAGATGAACATGGATTTGTATTTGGAACTGAATATGACATTATTTGCAATATCGCCAAAAGTTGATGAAATACGTGGGTTTCTTAGAAGAATCTATATCGTTTGAGCTTTGTAACCACCGTCTGGTTCTCTCTCTTCCTACAATTGAAGCCTTCCGATATCCCGAAGAAGTTGCTCGCTTTCCAAGCATTGTGGAAAGGTCTTGGTCTTGTGTAAATTATCCTATGTTTCTAAGATCAGATTGTTTCCACCACAGAAAAAGCTCCATACCTGATGATCCTACATTTCCTTCTTTTATCTTCCCCCAAATCATAATTTGCTTGCTTGTTTGTAGACTTCAACTTATCTGGTATTGAATTCCATTCTATATACGAACCCTGCCCCTCTTTCACTTAAGAGCTTCGTGAAACCCAAACACTTTAGTTCACGTTTCCACGCGAGATATCTCTCCACTTCTCACGCGCCTCCTAAGATCCAATTGATTGATTGATTGCATTACACAAAATTCACTTGAGCCCAATTTGACAAAACTAATTTTCTGTCCGCTCACTTTCAAATTTGTATAAACTTCAATAAGACCTACAAACCTTTCAACTTTTTTCACCAAAAGCAACAAAACGTACAACACAAACCAATAACAAAGATGTCTGCCTTCATTTTCGGGGGCGACGCCGACAAAGCAATGAAAATCATGGAAGCAGGACAGTGGAATAACCAAGCCAATCAACTCGAAGTCCGTGGCGATTTTGCCGGCGCAGAGAGTTTATTCTTGAGGTCCCTTGCGAGGAAAATCGAAGTTATCGGCGAAGATTCAATCCAGATTGCTCTTGCGAAAAATACACTGGGCGAATTGTATTTGAAGATGGAAGGCAAATTGGATGATGCACAGAAGTTGTTGGAGGATGCTGATAGGGTTAGGAGTGGTATGTTGCTTTCATTTGGCTTGAGCATCATAGGGTGGGAAGAGAAAACACTGAAGAGATGTGCACAATATAATCGATGATTTTGACGCAGCTTGCACTCGTGATAGCCTTGGTCAATTATGAGAAATCAATGGTGATGTTTTGAAGGCGAAAGAAGTGAGAGAAAGAAATCCGGAGAGTATGATTTGTTCGAACTTCAACGGTAGTGTTTTTGCGTCTCTGCTGAAATTCAGAACCAAGCTAATCAGCTTTAATAAGTGTCCACTCAGCAGCATGAACGTCAAGTCAAAGCAGGACGACCTCAAGAATTGTGTGTGATGCAGGTGTACATGGTATTGCAGTGAGACCTGTCAAAAAGTGGATTGGAAGACGAGACACAAGCGGTGGTGTACGGAGCCCACGGCGGAGAGTGTTCAGGGAACTAGTGTCCGTCAATTGAGGGGGGAAGTGATGAGTTGGTTTGGTGGTGCATAAGGCTGCATGACTGGAGTTAGGAGACATTGTCATGGGGTGAGGGAGGTATTGGCTGGCAGAAATCTTTTCTGAATGTACACAAGACGCAGAAGTATAGACCTTACAATAACTTCTATCACATTCCTAGAAGCATTTTTGAAAGAGACATCATCTCAGAAAGTTGCAAAATCCAGTTGAAGACTCCTAATCAATCCGTTTTCAAAACTCTTGTGTTTCATGTGCTCAAAACCTCCGCTAGACAATCATTTCACAAATCGATAGGATGTGAAATTTAGATTGAATGTCTACTCTGGAACCAGATGTACGTTGCAAAAATGAGCCAATATTCTGTCTATTGGAATATGCATAGAATTCCCCGAACATGATAATCTCAAAGAGAACAATCTTCCTTGGAAAGTTGAGCTTTATGACGCTTTTGAGCAGACGACGCCGTCTCTTGGCCCAGGGCATATGTCTGTTTTTTCAGATGATTAATCGAGTCAAGAAAGCTAGATATTCTGTCTAGTTAATTTTGCGAGGTTTGCTCATTACATGGTGAGAATTCTTCCTACGGTGTTTTAACCATGGAGATGTACTGGAATTTGGTGATGAGTGGTCTGTGACATGAGCACTGGATTATAAAGACAACCTTTTGCTTAAATGAGGTACGTGGGCTGACTAAGCACGCGAACACCAAGATTGATCTAGCAAACAAAATTGTCGCACCTTCAGCTTCTGTAGAGTTCCAGATTTGGTGTAAACAACGAAGCGATATCTCTTGTTTTTGCTCAGGTTAAATTCCACAATGGAAGTTCTCATGGCCAGTGTTCAAATTTGACTAATTCAAGGGGGCCTCTGCAAGTCATTTCAACAGTTCCATAGTCAACAAATTGTTGTTGTTTCTCACAGAAATTAATCTGCCTGGTGAACGATCACTCAATAAAACCAGTGTAATGGTGGAATCGCAACAAAAAATGAGTTGGGGGAGTAATGATTACAAGGTCTTCAAGATTATACACGGATGGGTGAAATACCTCAATCTTCCGAACCAAGTGTTCTGCAGGCACGATAGCACATTAACATCACCATTGCCGAAGTTCGTATTTGATGGTTCGGTCCTAACTAGTTGGCGCTAGTATCTACCGATACTCAACCTAGCGTTAGATATTTAAGTGTCATGTGTGGGAACTACGGGATGATAATGTGGACAACTCCGGTGGGCGTAATCCTGGAGCACTATCAGATTGTGTGTTAAAGCGGAGACGGGCCGCAGCTCATGCAGAACAAGAGAAGTTTGGCCATGGAGCCGCTCGAATTATCTTCTTGCATCGGTAAACTATTTGTGGATGGAATCTTCAGTTTCCATGGCTATTCGAAGGAAATTAGATCATCCGTTGATTCATTGGGCAAAGGATATTCTGGGGAAACAGATGTGGAGATATCTTATGGCGGGGTTGTCATTTAACCTTAATGGGCGAGATTGGGGAGATCGGCAGCCAAACCCTTCATGAAGTTTTGGACTCCCATATTACCGAGAAATTCTATATAAAGGAAGGCAAGATGCTAAAGCATCGAGCAAAAAAAGGGCATCAGAGGTATATCATCTCGTTTGATTCTCATCATGAAGTACGGAATACTGTCTTTGTTTTTGGCAGCCATTGCAAATGGCTCAAATATACTGCAAAGACAGACTATCCTGGGAACTTCTACTGTTAACCTGAACAATAATACTGGTTCTACCGGACACCTTGCTTCGGGCATTCTCTATGGCATTCCAGATACTCAGGGACAGATTCCCACATCTTTCTATTCTGATATGGGATTCAATTATGCACGAGCGGGTGGTGCCCAGGTCCCGTCACCAGGACGGGGTTGGATATGGGGGTTGTCTGAATATAAGGTCTTTTAAATTCTTTGTTGTCAAGAAATTGTTTACACATTGCTGAATATTCCTAGGTTCGATTCGCGTCAGCGTTGTCAAACTACCGATCCACTCGAGCACACGGTGGTAAATTTATATTCCTCATCCACGATTTGTGGGGCGCAGACGGAACTCAAAACTCGACTGCTCTTTACCCTGGAGACAATGGGAACTGGGCTTCATGGGATGCCTATTTGACTCAATTGATCTCTGACATCAATGCAAATGGTGCCACGGATGGTCTTTCAATTGATATTGTAAGTCAGGCCGCGTTGAGCTGTCGCCATCTCAAGCTTATTAGCTGACTCTTCAAAGTGGAATGAGCCGGATCTCACCATATTCTGGAACAGAAGTCAAGCCCAGTACCTCCAATTATGGGGTCGAACTTATTACAAATTAAGGTAAATAGTGGAATGATCCTGTGCAGAATTATCTACTAAATCAACATTTTAGAGCGGCATTTCCAGGTGTTCTTCTCATTGGTCCCGCCTATGCAAGTCCTCCATCCCTCAGCAATACTTGGTGGACTGGCTTTGCTTCATTTGTGAAGACAAACAATAGCGTTCCAGATCAATGGGTCTGGCACATGGAGGGTGGTGGTAGTGCAAACATGGGAACATCTTATTCAGGGCTTCAGCAAATTCTTACCACTTACGGCCTCCCTCAGAAGACTGTTAACATCGATGAGTATGGAACCAATGCCGAACAAGTCCCTTCCGGGACTGCTTGGTGGATTTCGCAATTGGAGAGATACAACGCTATTGGGCTAAGAGGGAATTGGCTCAGTGGGTGGTCACTTCACGATTTCATGGCTGGTCTTCTCGGTAAACCAAATGCTGGAACCTCAGCTTATTCTCCGACTGCTACTGGTTACTGGCCAAATGGAGAATGGCAGGTTTACAAGTACTATAACCTCAATATGACCGGGCATCGCGTTGGAACCTCAGCGTCAGTAGATGGTAACTTGGATACTTATGCTACTATTGGATCGACCAAAGTAAAGATCTTGTGCGGAGTACGCATTGCAACCGGAACTTGGCAAATCACGGTAAACAGTTTATCCTCTGTTGGATTACCAACGTCTGGTACTTTGAACATCCAGACTTGGGGATTCCCAAATACTGGTGGTCCATTTGGTTCCGTTACAGCGCTGAACGATCTTGGTACTGTGGCTCATACTTACACGGGGAATAGTGTAACTTTTCCTATCTATCAAGTGGATACGAGCACTGCGTATGCCTTTGAATTTAATGTCAGTTAGACGAGAGGAAAAAATATCAGTGGAGCAGTTGTGGCTTTTGTCGCGACCACTAAATACTTACATATGAGCATAACCAATCGATGTTGTTTTGAATACATAGGAACTTGACCAATCCTTATATCGCTTGGCTCAAGTCGCGTGAGTCCGAGGTACGGTTTCTTTGTTCTGATCCTGATTTGGATTTCGTCATAGCCCCTCACCAAGCCATCGCTGCATTTCTTTGTCTTCACAAATTTATTTCTACCACAACAGCTTCTCATAAAATCACCAAATGCAATAAAACAAATCAAAACAAATCAAAACAATATTGCAAACCTAAAATAAGATGGCTTCCGATTCAGATAGTACACCAGTACCCACAATATCCCCCGGAATGAAAGGAGAAACCGAACCAGTCAGTTCTACCTCAACTGAAAATCCCAAGCCTTCACAGCCCGATGTTCACCGACTCAAGCTCGCCACTGAACATCGCGATAGTACTATTTCTACACCCGACAGCATGAAAGTTGAAACTGGTAGTTCTAGCGATGGAATTCCAGAAACCGTCAGTCCTGTTGAAGACCCGCGCGCGAGGTCTCAAGGCGGCGTACGCGAGGCTGAGGATAACGGTAGTGATGGATCATGGGAGGAGGTGAGACATGACGGAACCCAAGCCTCAGACGGAGGAACAAGACAGGATAATAGGCCAGTTTGGGTAGGCCACGTCGAAGAGAAGAATGTGACACAGCAAGAGGAAGGTTCGGGAGATATTGCTCCGGAGTTTCGACCGAGGACTCCAAGACCTTATGGCTCTCATAGTGAATGATCAAGTTTGTGAGAGTTTTGTTGTGCCAAGGGAATGGGATGGTAAGGTTTCTTGTTGAAAGCGATATCAATATGCGATTTAAATTGAAAGGGTTAAACTCAGTTCTCGTTGTCATCCCAAGCGTCTCATCGGAGAAGTCATTGTACGAAAGGTTCAAGGTACCCGGATATTTTGACCAAAAAGTTCCTCTCATAATACTGTTTAGGTGTTGTCTGAGGATCACTTAATCTTGGTCGGGAGTGCAGAAAGTAATGCAAAAATCTCAATTGGGGGCATTTATCGTTATGCAGGTATGACAGAAATTTTATGAACTTTTAGAATGGATGGATCATCTCAGTTTCTTGGATTGCTAGCCTAGTTCCCGAAGGTTCCTGCCCATGGTCTTGTTACTTGAAGCCATATAAGCTACACTAGATCTTCGATGTGATTCTTGAAATCTACAATTTGGGAAGTAGCGAGTTCATTGTCGGTGTGAAAAGTCGCGACAAGAACGTCCAATTTTACTCCTTCCTCTTTATTGTCTATGCAGGATTGTCTCTTCTCAAATGAAATCATTTTCCTCTCACATCATTTTGATCAACATCATTTACCTCATCAATCCTCATTTTCTATTACCTACCCGCGGATATAGCCTCTAAAACACTCATTCATTCTCATAATTTTAATTTTAAGTCGTGGTTTAACATTTCCACCTTGCCCAAATCGAAACTTCCTGTTCACTGAAAGTTATCCGGCTTCAGTCACGAATCTACCATTAAACAATAATATAGTTTAAAAGCTTGACTGTTCGCCATTATCGGTGACCGCTACTTGCTCGAATCCTCAAAAACTTTTGGATAAAAATATTAGCACAGAAAGATGGCTAGCTACATCCCTCCAACATCCTACTCACTTCCACCGCCCACGGCTTATGTGTCACCAATAGTCATTCCACCCGTTCGACCCGCATCTTTAGACTCCAGATCAAGTGAAAGCTCATGTCCAAATGCAGGATCAAGAGCTTTGAGCTACAATGACCAAGTAACGGATGTTGAAGAGGACTCCCATACCAAGCCTTTGCAGTCCTGCAATCGTAAATCCGGGAAAGAAATCGCTAGAGGGGGGACTCAACCACCGAACCTCGGCGGAGTTGCAGTCAAAGCGCTGGAAGGAAAATTATGAAAAGCTCCAGTTATCGTATAGAGACTGAATATCTCAAAAGCCCCGCCATGCATGCCTCTTTCGGGTTTGATAACGCCAATTGTGTTAAAATTAAACATCTCCCTGAAAGAATCAAGGATGGCATTCGAACACTCTTAGAAAAGGGCTGGGAACATGGTATCCAACGAGAAGGTCCATGTGCCAAAACCGATGAGGGCTATTACTTCAAACTCAAGAAGAGACCATTTGGTAGCGGAAATACGTATGTGGTAACTCGAATGACACGCAACATGATTGCATACCTGGCTTCCGAAGGTTGGAAAGTACAACCTGTTCCGTCACTTTTAGATCCATACGACACTCTGAATTTTCGAAAGTGTGCAAAGCCCCTCCCAAAATGTTACTGGCTTGCTATGACATACGGGCATGCTGGGAAGTGGCGTCTGAAAGATCAGTTAAGCATTCTGGGTGGAGCAGACGAGCTCATTGACACCATCCGCCTTACCTTGCAAGAAATGAATCTTATCTCCAAGCTCAAGAAGGAGCATACTGATTCTGCCAAAAATTGGCACCAATTTTGCATCAAGGGCTCTTTTCTCCGTTCTGGAGGCCCAGAAAAGAAAAAGACCATGATGCTCAGGATTATGGAGAGGCTTGAGGAACGTGGTTGGGTCTTATATGTCGGCTGGCATCGAATCTATCACGAACGGACAGATTACGAACAGAAAATTGGGACTTGGTTGTGTGTGAAGAGTCGTGATTGGACGCCTACTAATCCAGTGAAAATTCGCTGGCAGAGTGATTTGAATTGAGATGGAGCATTGATGATACTGCAGGGTTTAGATCCGTACTCGAAGATACAAATTGAAACTGTCAACAAACCATGAACATCCTGTATGTAACCATCTTCTTATAGGATATCCCGCTGAAGATTAATCATGATGTTTCTTGGTGAATTGTGTGTCAATGGCTTAATTCCAAACTTCGACGAAGATGTTCTGTGAATAGCAAAAATCATACCGATGATACCAGGAAGTAGAACATGGACTGAAATCACATGATGACATTAAGTGATATGCAAGATATATAATAGACAGAGATTACTGATGAACGCAAGAAACTCTTCTTCGTATCTATGCCTCATTCGGCTTGCTCTTGTTAGAGAGCTGATCGGAGAGACTTGTAGATTAAACATCACCGTGTTATATAGCAACAAACATACAGAATCGGATTTTGGGCTTTTTTATAGATAAAGTGTACAAACACGCTTGATTTAGACGAAACCAGTCGATTTCCAAACGAAACTTGAGGAATCACTATATTCGATATCGCTCTCCATTCTTCTGAAAGTATTTGAAACTTAAGATAAATTCAAACAGAAAGATCCAAAGAATTCCAGGTAATGCCGGTGCTATAATTTTGGATACTTAATGAATTCCTGGATGTCGCATTGCATTGGATGCTTGTTACAGTGTTGGATGAGATGGGTAAGCAGTCTAGTATTTTGAGCTATTTAAATAATAAAGCGTAGAAGCTTTACTTGCGGAGCTCGTGATGAGCATGGCATTTGAAGTTCCGCACAAGCTCCAAGATTCAAGCTCTAAGTGTATCTGTATTTGTGCTTGTCGGCATTCGTAGATCCATCGAATACTTTCCTAATTGGTAAACCTTGACGGAGTTAATCAGCCAGTACCTATCATATTTCCATGTTAGCACTGATATATATTACAACCAAACATAAAACTCACGCATCTTTGTAAGCATCTGGATTTTCCGCCACAAATTGTTCACAAGTCAATTTTCCTCCCTGGCTGCAGATCCCACCATCATTCCCCCAAACGCCTCCTGCAAAGTCTCCACAAAAGGTGGTATCAAATACTAAGCTCTGATTCGCGAAATGGTTGTCAATATCACAGGAAGAAGAACCTTGGAATATTGCTTGAGGCTTTGGCCAGGAGCTGGGTTCTGGGTGTCCTCTTTTGATATCAAACGGAATGGCATTGCGAGGAAAGAACCAGATCTTAATGAAATCTGAGGTCCATTCTGTAGCGTAGATGCCGCCGCCATTGGAGTTGAAAGATTTACCATAGGTGGACGCTCCGGCTTGAGCTGTTGAGCCGCAGCCGGCGTAGTTGTTTAACTAGTGATGTCATGAGTAGTGTACACTGTGAATGAAGAGAGGTGTTTTACGGTGCCATCACATTGATTGTTATTCATCGTACCTAGTTGTGCGGTATCTTTGTTTGGCATGGTGCAATTTGCCGAGCTTTCGCTGTTAGTAAGTTCAAAACACCGAGGGGGCAAAATTCTTACGTATGGAGAGTCATTATGTTGTCACTTTGTTGGTTGACGCCTTCGATGATATCAATTTCCCTTGATTGCAAGTTAGTCACTTCGCCAAAGGTTTCGTTTTGGAAACAAACATACCCGTTATTCGGCCAATCTGGGCCAAGCAGCCAAACTGTTTTGTGGATCATGAATAGCTATTTTCTTCACACTGATTCTTTGGAACTTACAGGCTGGCCAGGTACCACAAGTTCCACCAGGCATGTGCAAAATATCTGCAATGAACAATCCATGTGTCCATGATTTCTGACTCATTATACGTACACTTTTTCGTCCTGAACCAGCGGGATCTAAAAGAGTAATATGATCGACTCCTATGTATGCTGGTCCATAAGTATTTGTATTGATGAGTTGATTTGTCCTCGCAACTCCTTCGTCGACATATCTGTGAAGGGACGTTAGTAGCGCTCAGTAACAAAATATTGATTGACTAACGTAACGTAACCATGGGTGGGATCTGGATCCTATATGATTTTAGTGAAAAGAGACTTATTAGAGGGTCTTACAAGTTCTTACAACAAAGAATTGCCATCCACTGAAAAATAACGTTCCTTCATATCTTGAGTCCAGATGGTACCATTGTTTCGGATGTGCTCTGGCAACTACAAACAACAGCCAACAAATTGAGAGGAATAGCTGAGTTGACATCATAGCTACAGATTTATAATAACTCAATGGAATGAGATATAACCAACTTGCTCAAGATTCTAGGTTTTTCCCCGAGTTGAACTGATTCCTATCAGCAAGTTTGTGTCACGAATCCACAATACTTTGAGTAGCATTCCACGGTGACGCCGACATAAGAAAATATATTGATGTAGTATTACATTCGATATGCAATCTCTCAGATAATCTCAAATTTCTCAGATATATGAGTGGTAGTCAGTGAATGCAATGCTCCATTCACTGGCTATGTTTTTAAGATGAGTGCAATCAATTTTCCAGCCATAAGCCCCAGCTTGCTACACCTCAAATATAAACCCCAATTTCCAACTCAAAGAGACCCCATCTCAGGGTAAGCAATTGAAATGACACTGGTCAGATGTTCAGACTTTACTTATAAGGGCTTGAAGTGATATCCATAGGCAGCGCACAAATTTCTCAGTGTGCAGAAATGATACAGTCAACGAACTGCGAACATATTTATTCGGATTCAGATGGAATACGGAAGCGTCGAGCTTTCATTTCCATGTGGAAATTAGATCGCACCAATGTCCCACTTCAGTTTCCACAACAGTCCCTCGGTATTCTAAGTTTTGTAACATCATAATGCTAGACTAGAATCTCAATTTCATGATTCCAGTCTTCCAAAACCTTTCTTTGGTAAACGTCAAACCTTTTCATTGCTATGAGTAGGAGGCGTCAGGAAGACTGTGGATGAAAATCTGACATATCACATGTGATTCACGTGCTTGACCTTTCTTCAATATGCACGCCCAATTAATCTGATGCGATATTAATATGCAGCTTGCGTGAGGAATTCTTCTAAAGCTTTGAAAACCATACTTATGTGTATCTAGGTACCGACCGGAGAATAAGGATTTCCCACTGACTGAACTGATGGACCGTACGGATATAACTCCTGCTCCCGTACATAAACTCCAAAACTCTGTGGCGGGGTGCAATGAGACTATATGGAAATGGGATTTCACTAATATCATTCTCATTTACGGGACGACGAAACTTCATGATGCGGTTGCAAAGGAGTGTTTCTCGTCTATCTATCGGCAAAGTTCCAAGATGATGAATTCACCAACCTTGGTGCTTATGTAGTCCAGGTTACCCAGCTTGCACCTTAGGATGCTGGCACGGGGACATAGTTGAAATAAAATTGACCTTGAGAACTATATCAATCGAACGTGAGTTTGTAGTAGATTCCCACATTCGTAGCTTCGGTGTCGAGAACAGTCAATCCGAAGCGAGCATATTCACATGAATGTGTAACTTCGAGCCTCAAAACCAATCAATGTATCTTTGACATTCACGTATCCAGCTTCGATAGCAGGCCAATCATGAGGTGGCGATTGTAGTTGTCTTAAGAGGCGAATAGCATAGCCTCATTGTGTTCTCAAGTTTTCAAAGCGGCCCCTCAAGCCCAGGGAAAAATGCATCATGAGACTCTCTGAAAGCTACGGACTTAATACCAGAACAATGTTGTGCTTTATCGTCTCCGCTATCTTTGAGCACTGATACCAAGCAGGGAAACATTCCTGGACGCTATCACTTGAGTGTCCAGCGAATGATGGGTTTGAAGAACGTATAGAAACCCGTACTGGTAAATTCGATTGTTTCAATTGTCAAAGTCGTGTTGTATGCCGATTTGTTGGTTGTGGCACGTCGCGTTGCTTCAAGGTTCTCAAGCCTATAGAGTTGAAAATTATAGCACCCCACACACTAAAAATTGGAAACACTCGCTAAGCCTAAATAGTCCTAGATAAACTTTTTCACCACTCACCGCCAGCTACGTTGACAGCGGACCCATCGTCGACAGCCCCATTTTGACAAGCCCAATTGCTCATATTTGCATAAATCGTAAATATGTATGTGATTCACATAATAAGATTAATGCTGCTGATAAGTTAACGAGGGGCGAGTTATCTGCAATCTTTAGAATCATCTATCAATGTTGTGAGAAAGCAATCCATCTCGAAAAAACATCATTCGCCGTCAAACTTTTATATCACTCATTAGAACCTCGGAAGCTCTCACCGCAACATGATTACCTGATGACCCTTGATAACAGAGGGGAACATTAGTTCTGCTACTTCTTCCTCTCTCATTTTACTTCTTTCTTGCGTACGCTACATACATATATATCTGCCCTGGAGGTTGATGTGAGTCTTATTAGTCTCAAAGAGCCGATTTGATATTGACATTAGAACAGTATTTTTGCATCTCCCCCTCAATATACCTCTACGCCCTGTCCTTCTCTGCGTCCATTCATTCACAGAAACAAAAATTTCTCGAGATAGACCGGCCACAAAGCAGTGCAGTAACGCCCAAGACATTACGAAATGGGTCTCGAGAAGCTCTTCGCTGTTGCAGCGCCTAAGAAAGGATCATCGAGATCATCGTCGAATCAAACGTCCATAGCACCGATGTATCTTGAGCAGATCTTTCGATTCCCTGGAGTTTTGACCGAAGTTTCGAGCGTTGTCAAGAATCTATCAGAAGGTTACACAACATATCAAAATGGGGCAGCGCTTAGGAATCAGCTGGAATCCGTTGTGCCGGAGGTGCAGACGTTCGCTTCAGGGATGAATCGATATTTGAAGAACAAGAACTGGTTGGATTTGTTTCAAACCTTCCTGGTGGGGGCGAATGTTGTTGCTGCTTTCATGGAAGTACTGCAGGGTTCGTCGGGTCTTGAAGAAATCGGGTTAAAAATTTATGGCGAACTCGAAGCACAGACAGGACTTGCTGCCCCTGATAAATTCGCGAAGCATGTTGACAAATATATCCGGAAAGAGGCAGCGAGTGTCTATGGTGGTGACGAGGAGCATCTCTATTTCCTCTACCACCCGGATACAGATTGGCACGGCGAGTTTCACGACATCGTTCAAAACAGACCGGTGCCAAGTAATTTTGTCGGCATGTCCGAAAATCTACACGCCCTGTGTACTTGGATGTTATTTATGCGAAAACGACTTGAGAGATCAAGGATTAATGCACGTTTTCATCTCCTGATTCCTGCATATAGACCCATGGTTGTTAGAACGGCTTTCGTCTTTCCAGAAGAACTCTACCCTTTGACCGTCCGTGGACACATTCACAACTCGAAAGAATATGTCTGGTTAAATCTCCCTACGATGAAAGATGTTCCTTCCGACTTGTTCGAAATGTCGAATGTGGGCAATATTGCTGCTTTACCAAAGCCACCGGCACTATGGCAGCATGCGTTGACCTGGGTAGGGAGTATGGTAATGCCGAGAAAAGAGCCACCCCCAATAGTTCTAGGAAGGGGAAACGTTAGTCCTAATGCCCCTATCTCATTGGAAGATAATGAAGACGAGAAACTCGAAGCTCCAGAGGATATTCAGATCCAGCCTGAAACACGACAGATAGTAAGAGGCGAGAAAAGACGAAAGCATCGAAGTTCACGACCGAAGGGCGACTACAAACAGTATTGAATCTTGTTATTACATGTGGAACGCGGAGTTCGCGCGTATCTCTTGTGCGCTACATATGAGAATTGAACTGGCTGTCATCAGCGCATCTACGGGAGGTTCAGTGGAAGCAAGGCGGATGAAATGAGTGATGAATTAGATACCAAATACAAAAGGAAGGAGTAGGACAGGAGAACATTTGTGATTTGTGGTTTGGATAGCTTCGCGGTAGCCTCGGCACCGATCTGGAATATTCAACCACATAAATTACCGGGAAGTGGCGTTCGCGATTATTTTTCTTTTGCTATGCGATACCAAAGTAGAATAGAAATACAGATATCATGAAGGATTCTCTTAACAGGTTTCATACATTCGTCGATGTGGCATATCATACCCAAAATTTCAATTATAGAACTATCTGGGAAAGTTCCTAACCATGTGGACAGCACCAAGTCACTTTTATGGAAGAGAGAAGTTGATTTAAATGTAACTTCCAGGCTTTGGCCAGCCGTAGTCAATTGGTTTCCATTCTGAAAGTCCCATGACTAGATAGTCGTCGAGCCTGAGCTTAGCGAAGTCTTCAACAATCATTCAACCACTCACCACAAGGTTAGTCAATCGAACATAAAAACTTCAATTTCATCCTGGTGAGATTGTGAGATCTACAACAGCATTCGCTAGTGACATATGCACGGATGTTCAAAAAGTGCCCATTATAACCTCGATATAGATATCAGGTAGCTCAATGCTTTGTCTATTCGGTCGATTTTTACGCAGAGATGCTCATATCAGTTGACACAATGAAGTACTAACGGCTTGCATGCTGCGACGAGTTATGAAAGATTGCTAGAATTGGTTTGAATAATGAATAATGAAGCCAAGTCTAGACAATTGAGTAAAGTTATTCATGTGTTTCCCAGCACAGAGTCCGTCGGTTTGGACTAGTCAATGTGTGCTCGTCTCTCAGGCAGACCAGATTTCATTGAGGAATTTCAGAGTCTAATATTGGCGAACAACTTTCGGATATTTGGAATGACAGTCGCAATGATATGGCATCGCTTTGTGAATGATAGATAGATGAGGTGTCCTTTTGTTCATGTCAAGCACTACACTTTGATGCGACCAGGAGCTCATGTTCATCATTTCGTAAGTATGAATAATTCGTTGAAATTTAGTCTTGTATTTTTCTGTAAAGGTTCATTGTTTTAACCTGCGTTTGCCACACCATCTTCACCACGTATCTTGTTTGACTTAATGTGATAAATTCCTAGTGCGGAGTAAGGGCTCAAGAAGCTGGCAAGGAATTGCTGTAGCGTGTTTCTAAAAACCATTCAGGATTTGGATGCATGCAAACTTCTTAATTATATCAATATGCTCTGCTTATTTAGTAAGGCTAGTTTCGTGTGTTTAGGACTTTTAGTGGAATCTAGCCACCCGCACTACCATCACGCTCCCCTTTCATTCTAATACTTGGTATCTTTCCTCAGAATTCCTCATCATCCTCATATTCATCTCTCGAAGATCTATCTCTGGCCACTTTCTCAGCCTTGATCCTTGAATTATGTTCAATATATTGGGGCGCGGTGTGTATTGTTGTATTCCTTCTGCTTGTATTGGTAGCGCTTTTTTCGAGACGTCCTCTTGATTGCGTGGCTCACGCTTTCTTGTAATGCCTGTAGCTCTCTTTCTAGGCGGAATAATCTTTGGAAACCACTTACGCTTCTCTGCTCGCATCGCAAGTAAAGAAGTCTGCCTAGAAGCTCCTCTTCGCTCGCCCTTCCTTTTCCCGCTGCCACTATCGTCGTCATCATTATTATCATTGTCGTCGTCTTCGCCACCGTCACCGTCATCATCATTTTCATCTCCTCCTGGTCTCACAGCTGGGTACCTTCTGAATGTAGTCAATATTGCAGGATTATGAATAAAGATGAAGCTTGCTTTAAGTCACTATTATGAGATCTGGGGCGATCAAAGCTTCTGAGTGCTGGGGATGATAGAAGACAGTTACTTACAAATCATGGCATACGGGACAGGATCCGATGACATCAATCTTCGCTGGCACCTGTTATGTACTGTTGGTCATTGAGTCGGCAGTACTATTTTCGACGATGTGCGTCTCGGCAAGCAGTGGTGTGAATTAGAATAATATCGCCTCGCGGGCATAGATCGGTGTAGTAGACACACATCGCTGTTTAGATCTGTTTCATTGCCTTAATTGAATGTCATGTATGATCTTAAAGCGGAGTAGATGTGAGAGCTTAAATATTGTAGCTATATGATTGAATCTTCACAAAGAGAAGAATAGCTAGAACGAGCTTTGTTAAGATCCCTAAACGAGATCGAAAGCAAGAACGTTTTATTATATGAGCCTCTATTGAGCAGACCCTATAACAAGCAATTTGGTGAATATCACAGATCGATTCGAAGGTTCTGGAAGAAGTCTTGTTTCTTATAGTATCAATTGAAAGAAAAGTTTTTTGAAAATAGAAATCTAGCTCAAAGGTTTCTATGATCTTGCTACTCTGATCACCCTGACTTGGATAGCGCTGAATGAAATGAGACATGCGACATTGACATCTGTCGACAAGACAAACAGGCTCCTTGAAAGTGCATGACAATATCTGAATAAACTCACTCAGCATCTGATTTTCTTTTTATCCAGCGGCACCAAAGAGTGATGATATACAATCAATGAAAACAAGGATAGATCCAGTATCTTCACATCTTCTACTTCCTCTATTTGGTCTCCGGAAAGTCCTTCGGGAGAAAAATCCTGAAATTTGCATAGAAAACCAGAAAGCTGCTGTTATTAAAACACAATTAGCGAGAGTTTCAAAATGACAGTGGACCCTCATTTCGCAAGTTGGAGTTCTACTTGAAGATGTTGATAACTATGAAGTGACTCGCCATGAAGTCTTGGGATCTTTCACGTGTTTTGTTCTACGGACTTCAATGATTTAGAAGCTTCTGACTATGGAATGAGCCATACGTCTCAATCTGAACAGTATCACAAGCGGGAGAGGATTCTCTATTCTGTGGGCAATCGAATTATGACTTCGAGCTGCACCAATAGACCCACCTTGTTAGAATCTATCTATGTAACAATTGAACCTCGGCTCTTATCACTTTACTTCCATCCATGGTATCAGCCCATTGATTTTCTTGCCTGATTTGTCCTTTGCTTTTTGGCGGTGGGCGTTTTTTCTCCAAGCTTCCGATTTTGACCACGACCACGTTTTGTTGGGGTATCATTCACCGGCATTGAACCTTTGAAGCCCCTTCCGGTGCTCCTACCGCGTCTTGCTGCGGTCGGAGCTTGGGGACGCCCACTCTGAATAACTAAACATTGATCTAGTTCGTCTGTTTCCTCCTTTTTCTCGTTTTCCTGTTCGTATGCTTTCTCTTTTTTTACCACTGTTATCAGCTCCTCTTCCTCTACTTCATCTTCTGCGTCTTGCTCATTGTCCACGGTCGCGGCCTCGGTAGCGTCTTCTTGAGCCTCTCTTTGTCTAACAATATCCTATTAGTGATACATACTGACTGACATCAAGACTCGCGGAGCGATTCATGGTTTATCCTCCGGCGCTTCAAAGAAGAGCCGGTATCTGAGATACTCGTGGAATGATATATGAAAGGATATCACTACTCACTTCTCTACTTCGCAAAGCCTACAATATTCTCTCGCGTTCTTGCTTTTCCTTATATTGCCCATTCTTACTTCTTCGATATCACAGTATCTGAGCGGTCTGCAACTGTTCGCATAGTTACAGGCCTTGGTGAAAATGAGAGAACATTCGTGACCTTCAAGACAAGTCTCAATGTAGTAGATGCACATTTTCAGTTGGAAGTCGGCTTTCAAGAGGAAACTGAATAAAAACCAAAAGCTTAGACCAAACTACAAAATAAGAAGCAATACTTATGTGTGTAAATTTCTACAAAGGTAAATTTTAGGACAATGGAGTTAGCTAATCTCAAAGAACTTCTTTCGCGGGACATCCACAAAAAGAAAGATAGTAGAAAGAATTGCTTTGAAACCTTGTGGATTGCCCTTTACCCTTATAAAGCATTGTTAGAGGACGAAACTCAAGAGAAAGGATGGGCTTCAGCTTAATGCTGCAATGTTTGTTACTCTAGTTGGAGATCTCTTGAGTAATATAGTTAAATGTGAGTTTTCATTGGCAACTATTTGTTTTGAATGCGCATCACTATCAAACTCAAACTCGAGGAAATGGAATGAGACATCATCTGATGATGGTCCCGGTGGAATGATCTTTGTTAGATATAAAAATGCTTAATAAGGGGCCAGATATCTGGCACAATTATGCCCAAAATCAGTATCATTATTCTCACATTTTCAATAGAGATTTGCGTGAAATATGAGCCTGTTTGAAAACATTTTGAAATTTTCTTCCTACAAGCTGATCTAAGTCAGGATGCTTGCATGGAGTTTCCTTAGTTGGTTTAGAAACACTTTCATTTCGATCACAGGTTCTAGTACAGCATAACAAAAGTTCTTTTGTGTCTAAAGCTAGCGCCACTATGATTCATGTTGATCTAACCATTCGATATGGGACTGCATGTCTACTCCTCCATTTCAGCCACCCGCATTGAATCAAATCCCTTTGACAGAAATGCAATCAAGATGGCCGATAATTCATAATCACTTCTTGTGGCGTGATTATCTAATCACCGGCTCTGGTATACTCTTTAGCTTATACTCCGAGACGCGCTTAATATTTGGAGCGCCATAACTTTTACTTCGAAGTGACTGCTTCTTGGTTGTGTTGGCTAAGCGCTTCGTATTTGTCTGGTTTGCTTGGTTATTTGTAATTTTTTGAAGTGCATGTGACAAGACGCTTGGCCCTGCCTTGCGCTCGAGATCTTGTAGTTCGAGAGATCCGACGTCATCCAGTAAAATTTTAGATTTGATAATAGCGTCCTCCGTCTCTGCCAATTCTTTCGCCGCTTTTTTAACACTCACTGACTCAACAAATATGGGTCCCTTGATGTGTAGCTGGTTAGAAGATTCAGCATTTCTCGGTGAAGCTTTGTTTTCGTCGGTCTTACTGATGGCCTCCATGTTATCGTTCACCAGATCTCTCTTGTGCCCCGATCTTTCTTCCTTACTTTCAACCGCTTCCTCTTTGCAGAATTTTTCGTCTTCGGCTTTCATGTCCTTGATGATTTCTCTACAGTTATCGTCAGCTAATTTCAAAGAAAAAGCTTGGAATGTTACGCCAATTCCTTCAATCGGTTCAACAATTCAGAGCTGTCCACCATATTTCGAGTCCAAAATTTGAGGAGTACTCGAAATTGCCTACCTCACGCACTGTTCACAAACTCTAGTTTGAACAGATTCTCGCTTCACCTCTCCTGCTTTTAATGCAGCTTCGTATGTGCAACTTTCCGAGTCGACACCTTCTTCCCAAGAGGAACAGTGTCTGTATTTTCTGCGCTTGGATACCTCATGATCGTTTCCGCATGCTTCTACGGTGTAGTGACACATGGCGATTTTAAGTTTCGATTGATTTGCTTATGGATCGGGAAGTAAATTGATAGTAACTGGGTGCCAATTTACAAAGTAACATCTATATCTGTCATCAAGCAGTAGAAGAATAAGAGATACAATGAGCACTTCTATAAAAGCAACAATTTCTGCAAAGTTCTCATTTCAATGGCCAAAATCACATCCAGAATTTGCGTTCTATGTGTTGGAAGTTTCATTCCTGTGACATTTTAGGGCTCCAAGATGAATTTTGTGTATGCTTTATCGAAAAGTCCAGGAACATTCTTTGATTATCTTTATTGAATGGAAATATTCAGTTTGAACAGGATACAGTTTAAGAGTATTTTCATCTCAATAAATGGTTAGTAAAGCCTTACTGTCTCATCTCAATGACAATCAGCGAAGTCATCCAGGCCTTTAATAGATATATCTGATCATATCTTTTGAAGTGGCATCGGGCATCAGCATCGGTCTGCTCAAATGATTTGACTAGAAAATTCGTATTGATTCATAGAAGTTTTGGACTTTTGTTCCTCGTTTCGAGAAATCTGGTAGGTAGGATAACGACACTAAGGACAAAATCGTAGTCTTATGTAAAACTGATAATCTAGAAGTCACTAGACTTTCATGGCATAGCTTTCGCCTTTTCTTGGAAGCATACCATAGATTTGGGATGCACGTGATCGTAACAAGATTTTGTAGTCTTTGACTAGAGTCAACAATCACTGGACTTAGCACATGCTTCTACAATCATCTGAAGGCGCCCCTAATCTTACTCGTTAAACGAGCTTCAAGGGGAAAGTCTGCATTTCATCAACGAGTCAAAATTCATTTAAATGCTAGGTAAACATTTATCAATTTATGAGCATCGCGCCATTCTGAAATTTCATGAAAATTTTCAATCCAACGAGATCTGTGATCGCGATACAAGTGAGAATGAAGCATAGAAAATTTGTTTCCGCGATGCATGAGAGCTTTGAATAGACTCCAAATGGCAATGTTGTCGTCATTCGGCTCGTCAACAAAATGGTCAAACAGTGATTATAATTACTCACCAATTATTGCTGACCATTGAAAAATGTCGCACAGCAAATGAAGCTGAAAATGTAGAATTACCTGAACTACATCTCAAACTCCCATCACTCTAATTTTCCCTCGTTATGTGCACCAAACTGAAACTCTGAGATCAGATTGTGAATCCTATCTTGACATATATCGATATGAAAGAGATATCATCGGTGTTAGATCCTGAGTTGATGCCATTGTGATCCCTGAATCGCACGAGCGCGGCAGCTAGCATCCGCTACCGTCATCCACACTATCGCGGTCAACTCTTCTATCACATGGCTTATCGGAAGCATGACTATTTTTGAAATTGACTTTTCTATGTGTATCATAACGAAGATTGTTGGACGTCGTCTGAGACTGAGAAATAATCTCTTGTTCACTAGAAATTGTCCCGATAGGAGTAGACATTGCTTCTTTCCTGCGTTACTTGAATTAGCTGTGAGGAGGGAAAGAATGATTGTGAAGACTGGTATTAATGTGTTAGAAATACTTACACGTCTTGCTCTATATTGGGATGACATTTACGGCAAGGTTCAGGATACATCTGATGTGTAGATTTTCGAAGATGTACTTCATTTGCTGAGTGGATGCTGCAGGGAACGAAAGTCGATCGTGCTCGTGCGCATAAGTAAATTGCATCGAGCTTCATCCAGTGTGCATCCTTGGCTGAGCAGGTTATGATGTCAAACTTACACATTGTGTACTTTAGGTATCTGGGAATAAGCTTGTGTGGATTTCATAGGGAAAGAAAACAGATGAGCACTCAGGATATCTGATGTAATATGGTAATTTGAAAATGAATTGTGGACAATCATATAGCCTAGTGTCCCGTACACACGTTTTAGAAGCTGCCGGATCTAAGAATCAAATCAGTATTGTTCCTTTCTTTGCATCTCTTTCATTTCCCGCCCCCTTTCATTCACTAAAAGGAAGCGGTCGTATACTCATCTCTCCTTCCCATTGTTAGAAAGCCTTAGATCAGATAATACAATTATGCACAACGACTGTTATGACATCTCACGTTATGCACAAAACGTGCCCAAAATTTCCGGCACAGTGATGTTCTTACAGGTTCTGGAACATTGGAAGTTTTTGCATGTAGGCTCAAGCATTGCTTTATCTTAACAGAAGGAAATTTAAGCAGGAGGTATGAAAGCTTTTCATGATACAAATTTCTACCATAAGAACAAACTTCCCCATGGAGACCCTGAAGCAAATTTGCTTTGAATATATTATACTTCGAAGATGTGATTTCGAACGGTAAATTTTATTCAAACAATCACACCCTTTCCCACATAATTTTGAAGTCCTCTCGTGCACTTCCATAAGACCTCAGAAGTAAGGAGTTGAGATATATTCTTCATCAGGTCTTTCATCTTATCATTCTGAGTCTTCCAGTTCATTCTGTAATTGGAAAGACAAATGAGAAAATACTAGAAGTCCTCTAATTAATATATAATTTCAGTCCATCTCAACGCCAAAAAAGGTGTTCTCAATGCAAATTACCATCCCATCAACATAAATTTATCCCATAATAGTCACAACCATCGCGCACTCATAGCTCACACAACTGAATATGGTTTCTAGTCCCCAATATTTTCTTCGATCCGATGTCACAGAATGGCCGTGGATCACCATCCACATTCTGCTGGAGGACGAGCATCGATATTGTCGAGCCGTGGTTCATGTCTGCGGAGAGTGCAACAAGAGAGCCGATGTGCATTATTTCTCCTGGTGTAATGTGCATCAAGGTACCAATTATACTTGTGGAAAACTTTACACTTATTATTATCGCGGACGCTCGACGAAAGAAATGTGTGATGGTTGTTTGGTCATAAGTAGAAGGAAGTAGGTGTTCGAACTTTTTTGATTCAAAAGTTATACGGACTAATCACATTGTAGATCCCTAGAACATCCTCCTGGATTTCGTAAGAAACACCCTAAGCGGAGAAAACAGAAGAGGAGTAGAGCACTTGCTCCTTTCGATCACGACAAGAAGCGTCGGAAATACAAAAGGCCCAAAGAAAGGGGCGAAAAGAGAAAGAAATCTTGATTAATCGGGGGTTTTCACTTCAGGCTTTAGTTTTGTGCACACAGCGTTGAAGAGACGTAGGGTATGGATTCATTCAGCTTTTAATGGCGTCTGGTCAATCAGAATCTGTGGCTCATCACAACGTATTCAGTTCGTGTCAAGCATTCAAAATCAGAGTGTAAATAAAAAATGTTTGTTGCTTGTTACACTAACTAAACTTGTGAAGTTCCAAGATATTACACCCGAATAAAGAATGACAACAAATTTTGAAGTAAATTAACACTAACCTTGAAATAAGAGTATCTTTTGAGAAACAGCGTGATAGTGATACTAATACTGCCGGATGAATCCCCAGATTGGAAATACACAATCAAGCATTCACAGAGCACTCAATCTATCCTTTAATATACGAGAGCCTATTGGAACCTGTCATACTGAAGCCGTTTCTTTGATCCGATGAAGGAATGTATCATCGATCTTCTTGATGTTTAGTGAGAAGTTAGACAATAAATGTTGAAGCAATTTATTAGGTATAGTTTCCAGAATTTTCGTACTGGATCAAGATAAAAGGCGGGTAAGGCTCTCAGAAGAATGTATTATGTGGTATCACGCACATGACGTGGACGACCAGTTGCACAGCAATATGGACTCCCAAAACGCTACCAATGTGCATCCATTGAACTCGTAATGTATTTCTCAGCTGATTGGTGGTACGAGTATGTTACGACATATGAAGCGACCCATAAGGCTCGTCGCCGGATTGTTTTATTACTCCCCTAAGGCCCCAATAAAAACGTCGATTTTAAGAATCAGTTCAAAAATCTTCGCGTCAACATGCCTGTTTGTGAAGTATGTTTTGACTTGAATCCTGGCTCCGAAGGTGGATTGATCAACTAGAAGATTCACATCACAGATGATTGTGCCTGTGAATATCGTCTGGCTTTTGAAAGTGCCAAATTCAAAAATTCTGCTGGAACTCATTGTTCAAGTTGCTCGGTGATTCAAAGTGGAATTCGCTTGATCGAAAAGAAATATTCGACTAAAAATCATCGGATAGATTTGAACGAAGGGGGGATCTTGATTTTTCGTGAAGATATTCCACTGATTTTGGAACTCAAGAACTTGTTACGCTTCGAGTACTTTTCCAAAAGAGGTAGGGCATACAACATTCACATACCAAGCTTTTATTCACAGCAATACTAGATATATGCCAGGGAACTGATACCCAAAATCCTTGGATAAACTCCTTAGGCATATCTGAAGAAGTGCCTCCAAAACTGTTGATAAAGAACTGTAAATTCATCATTGATAGATGGATAAAAGAATGCGACACTGAGCACGGTTCTTGTTGTATCAAAGCAGCAGAGGAACAAGCCCTTTCCTCAAGATTACTTGATATAAGAAAAAGAGCTCACAATGCAATCGTTCTTGTGGAGGTTCATGCAAATAACGACTCTGAGCCAAGGGCAGCCATCACACGTTATGCGACACTCAGTCATTGTTGGGGGAAAGTCCAGCTCTTGAAAACAACTAAGAGTTCTTTGAACAAACACAAAAATGTAATACGATTAAGCGCTCTGCCCAAAAGTTTCCGGGAATCAATAAAAGTACTTCAAGCTCTCAGGATTTACTATGTATGGATAGACAGTTTGTGTATAATTCAAGACGATGATGCGGACTGGAAGCGTGAGTCAGCATGTATGGCTGCCATCTTTTCTCACAGCTATCTGAATATCGCTGCAACAGGTGCAAACGATAGTAGGGGTGGATGTTTTAACATAAGATGTTTGAAGCAACTGTCATTCAAACTTGGAACAAAGTCACACCCCATCACCGATCAATACAGGAATATCGATTGGGGAATTCGAGTCCGCCCTTCATTTGAGTCAGTCCATCACCGTTACAATAGTCGCGTGATCTCTGAAACAGACTTGTTAGATAAGATAAATACCCCTCTTTTGTCTCGAGCTTGGGTATTTCAAGAACGACAATTAGCACCGCGAACTTTACATTTTCATCCTTCCGAGCTCGTAATGGAATGTAAATCAGGTCTCCGCTGCGAATGCACAGTTCTTGAGATATTGAACGAAGGTTCGGGCAGTAATTTGAAGGATCAAGATAGCTTGGGATCTGAGGCTTACGAAATATTCAATGAATGGAATGAATTGGTCAGAGAGTATTCGCAATTGTTGATCACGAGGGAATCAGACCGGTCGATTGCCCTTATTGGAATTGCAACCGAATTCCAGAAAAAAGTGAATTGTGGGTATCTAGCTGGGCTATGGAGCTCTGATATTGCAAATGGCTTGTTGTGGGACATTAATGGAAGCCCTTACATGAGAGAGAGAATGGATCTAAAAAGAATTGAAGAACCCTTTGCCCCCAATTGGTCCTGGGCTTCTTTGGTTCAAGGCGTAGGCACTTTCACCACCTCAGTTGTGTTTCAGCCAGGCCAAGTGCTCACACCCCACGAAGATTTCAAATAATTCGGGACCAATATACCATATTCAGCTAGTTATTGGCATAATATGCAAGGCAATGGTTATATCAAGATCCAATGTTTAGCTATACCTGCCATCGTGTATAAGGAACTAAAGCACTCCGGTGGTTCTATCAGACCCAGACTTGTCTTCAAGTGTGATTGCAACCGAAAATTCAAAGTTAACTTGGATGTGCCTCCAAGTCTCGCGACAGCTGATGAAATTTGCTCTGTTGAGAGCGGTATTGAGATCTACTGTTTAATAGTTGCAAGAAGATGACACACAGATGAAAGTACCAACCAAAGCACTTTCTGGTTACATTTCATAATGTGTACACCTTTGGAGGCAACGACCAAAGAGATCGAGATTATAAGAATTGGAGTCTGCAGCATACTTGAAGCTGAGACACCACTCACGTTCGCGCAGGATTTGGCTTTCAAGCTGGTATAAGAACTCAGAGTATCAAGTTCTACACAAACAACCTTTGTTAATCGGGACTTCATTTGAATTCGCTTCTGCACTATACAAGGTTTGTTTGATCTTTAGAACTGTGAATGATACAAATGAAAATGAATATAGCAAACAAACAGATGCTCTACAGTCCATTGACCAAGAACGAACCTATTATGCTATCACACTGGAAAGAAATATTTGGTGAGGTCTACCGCAAAACATGTCCATCATCGCAGTCACTGCCATTCTTTTAGGTTTTCTATTTCTATTCATGATAAATTATTCATGGTAAATTATTTATATGAGGTAAACCTGTTCGAGTGGAATGAGGGAATGGTTGTCAAATAGTCAATTTATTTATCTAATTTCTCTCCTTAATAACCATATTGTCATCAACTTCAACACAACGAATATCGAACTATATAATATGTATAAAATACCCGACTAATAAATCAAATTGCAACTCTTGCAAAATAAAGATTCAAGTAACAGTTGACTCAGAAATATAAGAATACAAAACATCTTCAACCTTACCTCCTTGGACCATACTCCTTCATTCACTCTTTAAATGAATCACCCTCAACTCTGTAAACCAGTCGATTAACTTGGTCGATTGACAAGGCACGTGATTACCGAGAATTCACCCTTTTTCTCCATGCATCCTTTGGATCGATGCCAATACGACTGTGAAGATTACGAGAAGTGTAAGAATCTCTGAGTTTCACTGACAGTCATGAAGCATATACTAGTATTTTCTTCCGATACCGTTCTTTGATCTATCTCATGGAAGTACATGACAAAAACAGGTACATACATTCATCACGCCTAAGATAAATTGCATCAATCCTGCCAGGAGATTTCTAATCTAGAAGCTTTCAAATCGCGTAGGATTTGCTCTGCTCATCGTGAGCTTTCCACCGACATAACTCATAAAAGATCTCACCTGAAGTTTCGATCCTTACTATGCAAACACCTATTCTTTTAGAGGGCCATCATTACAATGATCGAAGTTTCGAGCCATCTAACTAATATTGTCGTGCCCAACATACAAAGAAGCATGTTATCCATATCCGTATCAGTAGTTGTCCTACATTTTCTTTTTCGTTTAATTCATGAGATTCAATATGGTTTAAACTCGAAATATCTCGCAAAACAGAGTTTATAGATATTTTTGACACACAAAGTAATACTTCACTCAGAGAAACGTAACCATTGATTTGGAATAGGCTCATTTGTTTTGATATACTCTTTGAGAATGGTAGTATATACTCTGCGAAACCTGAGAGTTTTAGCAATGGCTACTCTTACGAATCATGTCCAGGATGAGTGCCAATTTCCCAATCCCAAATGTGCAAATTTACCTCCTCGACCTCAACAATGCACTGCATACTGGTTTAAGTACAGATGCGGACATCCGGGTAAGCATCCATTCCTCCACAGATGTGCCACACATGCCACCCCTCCTTAATCCTACCGTCGCACCAGGCGCGTTGAGACCGGAGAGACCAAAAATTACGATTGTCCTAATTGCCAAAAAAGGTAAGAGACTTCAATAATTCTTATGGTTGGATCTGAAAGGTATGACTAACGGAGATGCTTTCCCTTTAGAAAATCCAAATATAGAAATAATGAAAGAAAGGGTCCGAGACGCCCCGATAGGAGAGATGAGTCGAACAAGTACAGCAGGCATCTGAGAACCAGTAATACCACTGTCAAGTAGGGCAACACCGAAAGTAAGACTCAAAGAAAAGATGACGAACATGAGATCGAGGTCAAGGTTCAAGGACAAGATATGATGGCGACGGGAGTTTCCGTAACAGATGGCATAAATTAGGTACTATTTTACTCTGTAACTCTGCCTAATCTGACTCGTCGAGTATTGATCATTCTGTCGCATAATGGCGTTTGAAATGTTGAATGAGCTTCGATAATAGAGGGCCATGTAACTCTTCTCACAAACACTGTAATCCCAAGTCATGCAAGACATTCGAAATGTGATTGATCAAACGTCTAGCTAGAAGCTACTCAAAAGCTCCCCAACAATTACTTCAAAGGAGATGCTTAGAGATCATCATTAGTAAGCGAAAGAGCCGAAGCCGAGATATCGTTCTAGTGATAAACAATCATGAAAGAAGTGCTTTTCTAATAGTTTTGAAGTAAGCATTTTCTATAAGTTGTAAAATAAAAAGCTATCAAGCAATATAATGCATTGCTTGAACTAGCGACCATACATTTCACTTAGCCTTTGTTCACGGCGTTTGAAGGGGGTGAGAAAAATAGCCGAAGACTTAAACGACCAAATGAATAAGAGTGTGTGGAGCTTATGCTAAATATAGTATTCAATTAGCGGACCAAATTTAAAAGCTAAATATATTAATAACAATCTCCCCAATAACTAAGTAATGCAGTTTATTGCATACCGATCAGATACTGATCAGAGTAAATACAATTCCTACTCCACGTCAACCCCTAGCTAAAAAGAAAATGGTGCTCTTGATCGATTGAATAGACAGCTACGTCCAGCCTGGAGTTAACTAGCTAGTAGCTACCCCAATTAATCGCATCTAAGAGAGCTCAACTTGTGAGATAGATCAGCTACATCATTCTTATCTCCATATCCAGCCATCTCCATTTCCACATCCATTTCATCCGTCATTTCAGCCTCCATCTTCGACTTCAACCGTGCCTTTGCACCCATTCTCGATCTCTTGGGTATCTTCTTGGAAATCTTTGTGGGTGTACTCATAGGTGTTCTATATCCACCTTCACTGCGAGACTTGACAATGGCTCTTCTATACCTCACTTCATCACTTATAGCTTGGTGGAATTTGATGTCCTTGCTTCTCGCCAACTTATCTCCTCCTGTTCCACTTGATGTGGATCTTCGTTTAATGGCAGATTTTTTCTGATTGGACAAACTGGATCGCTTTAATCCTGTCTTATCATCGCCTCCCGCTGATTTGGTTGCAGTGTTCGGGGGAGTATTCATGTAGATTTCGTCGGAAGCATAACCGGCACTTCTACTAAGAATCTGCAGTTAGCCACGGATCTCATATCTTCAAATCTTGATTTTCAATCCTAGTTGGAAAAGAAGTACTAACCTCATAACACATTCTACGCAATCTCTATCCTTGACTTCTTCCGTGTAAACCACATCGGGAATACAGGGCGCATTGTTGTAATGATTCCTGCATCTTGCGCTGTTTTCTTGCCCGTTGTGGAGACATCTGTATTGGAAAATGCTGATCTGGCAGCGTCCTGGGAAGATAGAATTTGGGGTATTCATTTTGAGGGTGGTTGTGACCTGAATCAGTCGACTTGATGTGATTTGAAGAAGTTGACTTGATTTGATTCTGATGATCTTGGTATGACTTTGATAATCTTGACAAGGAACAGTTGGTGGTAATGTTTTTGGATTGATTAAACTGTTGCAACTTTGCGTCTGGAAATCAAGAATAGAAAATTGTGATGAAGCAGAGGTGATTGGAAACATATATAGATAGAAGGGAGAGATATCCACAGCCTAAGGGGTTGATACGGTGCAAGCGTATATGCTGTTAGCTTAACAATCTTTCGACACACCGTAAACATGATACATTCTAACCGTATCACCCTCGATATCGCTCACATACGAGGCTGTTAGGAATTGGGTCTACTGTGCTATACAGATATAATGTTTATATTAGGTTGCCACTGGAGAACTTGACATACTGTAAACATTATACGTTCTGACCGTATCACCCTCGAGATTACTCACGTACAAAGCTATTGCTATTACAAACTGAACACACTGTGCTACACAGAACTATGGTTGATAGTAAATTGCCACTAGAGCAGTTGACTCACTGTAACACGAGATTTCCAAACTTTTACGGCGATGCAAGTTGGCGTTCTTACGTTTTTTTAGTGACAGAAGTTCAACAGCTACTCACTGTTTGGATCAGACAATACAAAAATTGCAGTATCTGCCATCTAGTAGCTTTCAATGGAAGCGAACCTGAAAAAAATTAGTCACTACCCCAAATTAATCTTGTAATAGTCAAGAGGAGAAAGGTATCAGACAACAGCCTCATATTTTCAAAAGCGATATACATTGTAATGACGTATTCAGCGTCAAAGCTACTCTCACCTGTACTGCATCCTTCATCACCCTATGCTAAGATAAAAACGGGAAATGACTCTCATGCCCCTTGAGTCTTATGACAGCTTCTAGTCATCAGAGACAAGAATCCAATTTTCTTCACCGAAGAAATGGGGAAAGCATATCAACACCGATTTTTTCCAAGCCATCCTACATTTCGGTCTCTAATACAACCGCTATGGAATCTAGATGTTTCTTATCCCAATCAATTTACACATAAGAGGTAGGGATCAACGGCGAAACGAGAGATATCAAGACTCTCAAGACATACACCATTCATTATACAAGCAAAAGCAACTTCAGTATTTCCTGTAGTGAACTTTGACTACCGACTCATCACCACCAGCTGGAAACTCTCAAGCCATCATGAGATTTGGAGATTAGAATGTATATAACATCCAGCCTTTACTCAGGCTCTAAGTTTTCTCTCTGGCATATTCAGTACCATATGACCCTCCTCATGTTCTGTAAATCCCAGTTTCTCCGCTTCCTTCCACACCTCTGGATACAATTCTCTTGTCCATTCCGCCACCAAATCTTTCCTATTTGAGCCTTGAATTGCATTATAAATCGTTCCAATGCTATTTTATGTTAGAAAAGCCTTGAGAGCAAGAGAGTAAAAATACAACTTACGTCAATATATCCGGACTAAACCCAACATCCTTCTCCATAGCTTCCACCAACACTTTAACCTCATCTAATTTGCCCTGCCCAGCCAATGCACCAGCATAAGCAGCATGAACTTCCCTCGTGATCTCAATCTCCATCCTCTTCATCTTATCCCAAATCTCCCTTGCTGGTTTATCCCCAAAGGGTTTTCTTTGGCATGCTTGAAATACAATTTCCAAACTCTTATAACTAGGTCCTTCGCGAGAATTCGTGATATCATCCCAGAAATGTAGAGATCGACTAGCATCTTCGCAAGCTGTATAAGCCAGCATTAAAGAGTTATATAAACGGGTATTAGGTTCTATGGTACTGTCCATTTTCAACATATTGTGAACCATATCGAGAGACTCGGCATCGGCACATGATGCTATACCAACAAAACAGTCTATGTAAGTATCTAACACAGGACGTCTGTTGGGGCTGATATGCTGACGCATGTGACCAAAGACATGACAAGCCATATCCGATCTTTTGCGATCGAAAAATTCATTCATAATGCGCGTCCGTGTAGGAACATCAGTCTCGTCGAAAATATGGGTGACGACACGATAAGCATCCCATATACGGTCCTCATGATTGTTTCTGTCAAAACAGAAAGCAAGTATCGCATCTCGTATTTGAGCCCGCTCTAAAAGGGTATAGTGGTAAGTATTGACTTGTAGCAAATCTACTACATCATGGAGTTCGTTGCGGGCAATATACATCGTAGAGAGTGACGAAACTGTGTCCGCTTCTAACCTTGCATTACGCTCATCAAGATCAGAAACGATTGATGAAATCTCGTTGTAAGGCAGATTCTCGGAGGCACAGAGTGCTCGGACAAATCTATTAATGACAGGCAAATCTTCGTCCTTGTAAATCTCCTCGCCTTGGAGCAGGTTATAAGATGCATGGGCACCCGAAAGATCTCCAGCACCAACTCGATAGTCCATTTGCAGGATGAAAGTTCTTGCATTTGGACGAATATTAAACTTTTGCCCCAATGCGATATAACGCTCTGCAAGATATGGATCATTTTTCGATATTGCATATTCGACCAGACCATTGATAGTGTCAATATCAGGTCTCATAGAATAATCGTCAGGATAACGCTTTTCCATGATACGCATCATACGTTCCACGTCTTCAACGCCCTTGTCCATAGCACTTGCAGCCCATTGAAACACAACATCCCACTTTTCTTTTTGCAATTTTTCTGACTCCAAAACTTTGCGAAAGATGCCTTTACACCAATCTAACAGTTCCTCATGACGAAGAGAGAATTTGAGTATGTCCTGCAGTATACTAGGCGTGAACTCCACCGGATCATGGAAAACTTTCTCAAACCACGCTTGCGCTTCCGCAACACGGTCCCTGGACGTATAAAACTTGACGACGATTTCCTTGCTAGTATTGTTACGTCCTATGCGTAGCTCTTCCAATCTCTCGTATGTCTTCAGTAGTTCCACCTCGTTCCCTTCTCGCGCAAATCCAGATAGAACGGTAAACCAGTTCCGTTTCATGATTTTGCGTTGTGTAGCACTGTACTCTTTGATTGAAGTTCCCGAGGGAATTTTCTCATCTTCTAGAAAGTTTCGAGCCTCCTCTTCGCAAAGCTCTCTAGCCTCTAGAGATTTCCCAACCCCACTCAGTATCTTTATAAAACGTTCATAACTTGGCGCATTCTCATTAGATCCAGACAATTCAGACAACTTCTTGATCTCTAGGAAAAGAAGCCTCGCCAGTTCCAGAAAATCATTCGTTTCATCTTTAGGAATAATCGTCAATGCTTTCAAAGCCGTCATAAAATCCTTCAAGTGACCATCCCCCAACCCACAACTAACCAGATACTTCAAAGTTCTCAACGCATGCCCCGCCTCGATGTTATTTACCGCTCGTTCCGTATCGACCTTATGTTTAAAGAATTCATTGAAAGCTTTAAGCATATCATCCTTATTCGCAGTTCGTGCATGGATCTTCGTCATCAAGCTAAACTCTGCCATCTTTTTCATTCCGGGTTCCAAGTCCGGCGCTTTTGGTTGTCGTGGGGGTTTCCGAGAAAATCCAAAAAGAGAACGACGCGATGCGTATGATACCGTAGGAAGTGCATTCCGGCGACGTCGAAGTGTTAATGACGATGGGGCTCGATTTTGGCATGGTAATATGAGGCCTTCGTTTGACAAGAGTCCACGGAAGACTCTGCGGGTCAAATGGGAGCGCATGGTTGAGAATTGGTAATGCTATGTACAGAATCTACAAAACCAAAGGATTAGATGAAAACAGAAGAAGCAGCAAAGTTGTTCGACTCACGGTATAATAGAGAACAATTGCAATTGACGTACTAAGAGCTTCAAGGTGTTCATTAACTTTTTTGCCATTGGCCTTCGAAGCTTGGAAAATGTGCGGCAACTCCCGTTTAGATCCGCACTAAAATGCAGCCAATCATTGATGTTGGGGAGCTACCCCTCACTAATCCCTATTTGAAACAACTTGGCTTTACTGGACTGGGCCACGAATTGAATTAAGATATCAATGGACCATTTTAGAGACTAAATTAGAAGATTAAAGTTTTGTCAAGATTAAAACTACCATCACACATACAGAACAGTCACCTCGAGCTTATATAGAGACATAATTTCCCTTAAATATCGTATCAATTATCTCGATTCCATGAGACTAAAACTGCTTAAACCATCAAAACCACCAATCTAAAAAGTCTGATACACTACTACCTCGAGAAATCTCATCATCCGTGAAATACCCTCAAAAGCCCGCCAACCAATCTAAAATCCTCCACCACTATCTGCAAACGCCAATAGAATCATAAGTCATACCATCAATGCCCATTCCATATATAGCTTAACGCCATCTCATTGTCCAGAAACATATTTGAAGCTCACAATCATAGTAATTCAGGCTCTTCATCTTCCATACCCTCCTCATCACTATCCCATTCTACATCGTTTGCAGCTGCTTCGGCTTTGCGTTGGACCTCTGCTAAGCCACTCAATTCAGTGATGTAGTCCTTTTCAGTTAATGCGCGCTTGATAAATTCCCACCCGTCTTCTTTGTATGCATTCACAATCTTTGGTGAGCAGGCTGAACAGCAATCGTAAGAAGGGCCACTGATTAGCATTGTTTTGTAAGCGGCCAAGAAACCTCGAATCTGATGAGGTACGAGACCTAGAGGGTGATTTGGTGGGTCCCGATCGAACTCCAATTGACCAGATTGTTGACTTGAGGAGAGCTTCGGAGCAGGAGCAGCACCTTTCAACGGATGTTGAAGAACAGACGCAAGCAGTTCTACAAGTTTAGAAGATGCCTCAGGTGCCACACCCGGTCGAGTGACTGTGCATTGTTGATCAAGAGTTTGATCTTTCACGGACTATAAGAGCTATATTAGCAAGTTATGTATGAATGGTAAGAAATAAAAAGAACTTACGTCAGACGGTGCTACAACGTCATTACAGAAGTAACAGCCTAGAGCGGCAGGACCT